AATTTGTATAGAAATCTCGGTTAGGCAGTTACTTACTTCTCATCTCAACCTAATCTATCGCAAGCCACATTTAAAAGTTGTACTATTCAACTGATGGAAAAAATTATCACAACTCAACGGGAAAAATCCGAAATACCGAACATCTGTAACGCGTTGTACCTTAAAACACACCCATTTTTCAACTTTGTCCAATCTTCCCGTTTGAGCTGTCATTCGATTCAACTTTCCGAGCCTAACAAATGTTGTTGTATGCATTTTTAGGATTAATCAAACCGATTAGCCGGAATTTGGGGGTGGGGAGAGGGAGAAATCCCAAACATTTCACTCCACCAGCCAGAATATTCAGATCAAGTTCTGATTTTACACGGATGTAGGTGACTCAATGTTCAATGTTATTTTGGTTATTTTGCCAGCGATAAATTCAGCAGAGTTTAAAGACGTGGAGAGACTACAACTTTTTTTGATTATTTCAATCGGCTCCACAATCTCCTCGCTTTTCATAAATGAAAATTAAACACTTAAAATTTTTTATTGGATCGGTGGTGGTCGGTTTAGTTGAGTGGTACCTAAACAAATAACCGAATAACAAAGTTTTTATTATGACTATTGCGAGACCTGGACTTCCATAAGTCCTACCATACAAAAATTCAAAACAAACTCCCCCCTCTACTCTATTTTATGAAATTAAATTTGAATCCCTCCTCCATAGTAAAAAATCCATATCAAAAAAAAAAAAATTATAAATTTGGATCCCTCACTATAAACCCGTCAACGACGGGTACATCAGCTAGTTATATTATAAATTGTATATTATAACAATTATAAATTGTTGGTCCGAGATGACGTGTACTACAATATAATACATTTTTAGCTTAAATATAATTGTTTGTTTTTTAAAATTTGAATTCAGAAAATATTAAATTAATAATTTAATTTAATATTTTCTGAATCCAAAAATATAATGATAATTAATTAAGATAAAATTCATACTTGAAGCAGACAAAATTGTTTGACGTTTTTTGTATAAATTCATAAATATTAACTTTTTGTACCTATATTTTATAGACGTCAGAGAAAGATCAATACAATTCCGTTTTAATTAGTAATTACATTCATTATGTTTGATATGTTTTGAAAAAAATATAGACCTCTCCTCTCCCATTATCTTTTAATACTAGATTTAAATTTATAAGTAAAATAATTCAACAATATGTTTTCCAAAAAAAAAAAAGTAGAAAAACTTTGATATCAGTGAATGAGACTGCAGAATCATTCTTTTTTTTTTTTTTTAATATTCTCTGCGATAGAATAGTGCACTTTCAATGCCTGACATATGTATATGAATGATTTAACTGTTAAGAGAAGATAATAATGTCGAAATATTTTGTATGCGATAAATTACAGTTTTTTATTGTTTTTTTTTATGGTGTTACGATGATTTCCTTATCCAATTTATCTATTCAATACTCTTATACAAAATAAAGTCTACAGGACTATATAACATACACAAATTTTCTGGTGAGTAAATAAAGAAATAAATAATAAATAACGAAATAAGGAATAAATTCAAAAACATAAGGAAAACGAATTAATATTATTTTATTGGTGTCATTTATATTGTATATTAATGTCATTTATCTATTTATTTATTTAATTTTAATTTTTAGCGTTGTCTTATCTTTTAATCTATATTCAAGGAATTGAATCGATAAGTTTGTGTGATTTAGTTATGTATTTCTAGCACCCGAATACTTTTTTTTTCTCATAAAATATATGTATTAATTGTTTAATGTTGTGTATTAGTGATATGGTATATGACTAGTGTTGTGAAAAGGAGTAAAAAAATATATCTTTATATAATAACGGAATAATATGATCTAAGATCTATGTCCATATGGATTGATCAGTATGCTGTGTAAAAAGCAACTCTACGTAGTAGGACAGCACTACTTTCAATTAAGTATTTATCTCTATTTATTCAAATATTTAGGAAAATTACACAAATTTATACTTTATTGGTTGGTCCTCATGCACCTGGCTTTGAGCTGCCATATCTCTTGGATCTAGACCGATTCGTCACTGTCCTTGAACCCCAGTGAGTCAGTGGAAAGGACATTGCCAGATTGGCCCCAATGGTATCGACTAAAGAGGTTTTTTCATATATATTTTTTCTTTTGTCTTCCCTCTCCTCGTTTTGTCAGCTATGCGTGATTTTTCCTGGACAGAGGTGATGGCGGGGAATCAATGACGAGGAGTTAAAAGCCGCCTAGGACTTGGACTCGAACTCGTAATTATTTTATCATAATATCTTCCATCAGGTTGCCGGTCAATGCGGTTCTGTTCATAAGCGTTAAGCCGCTCGACCGCCCTACCCCCATCGACTACGGAGCTGATTGGACTGCCGCTACACCATGGAGGTCTGTAGCAATATGAATTTAGGTGTCCCCCTCCGGACTATCTGTACTCCCGCAAGTATACGTTTGTAAGAACACCATATCGCGAGGCCAATGATCTACGTGGTCTATAGGGTCAAACTATAAAATAACCGTGTTCCATGGATTTTGAACCGCATATAAAATCCAACCCCTTCTCTTTCGGATGACCTTCGATATGGTATTCCATGTCTTTCCGTTACTATACAGGGTGTCCAGTTCTTGATGGCCAAACTCTCGGGAGGAGGATGATTTTAGACAAAATTTCCTTAAAAAATAGTTCATTTGATGTATGAGCCGATTTTGAACGAAAAATGAGTTAAGAATGTATTTTTCTTAAGGTGGTCACTTTTTTATTTTATTTTCGCTTACCTATATATTACATATATAGGTAAGTGTAAGTATTGCGATCGTGAAAATTTTCGAGTCTGAGTTTCAGCGGAAATACTCTGAGTCTTAATTTTGTTTTAGTAAACTTTGCAATGGAAAATAACAGTTTAATAACTAATAGTCGTACAATCCATAAACAATGGATCGGACAATCCATAATCAACGAATCGTATAAACCATAATCAACCGGTGATACAATAAATAGGACTTTTGTTATTTTAATAATATTTATGATTTGTTAGATGTTATGTTTTAGCTTTAGCTCAGTTAAAAATGCAATTCAAACATTTTATAATAGCCCAACATGGCCAGAAAATATTTTCTATTCCAATTTGAGCGGTAAGTGAAAGTTGTGTGTTGCGTGCACCAGATTTTATTGAATAAGGTGAAGTTTCTCAAAAACGGTCCAATATAATTAAATTCTAAGTACACCATCGCTACAGTATCCTTTAATAACACCCCACTTATCCCTGTTGAACATATCCGATACCTAGGATTCCACCTGGAAAAACGTCTCACTTGGAATCCTCATACTAGACTGAAACGACAAGAAACAGCTCGACGTTTCCGCTAGCTCCAGCACTTACTAGACAAACGCTCTAACCTTGTAATTGATTACAAAAGACTCATAAACATGACTGTAATAAGGCCTATTTGGACTTACGGAGTTGAGCTATGGGGCTCCACTAAACCATCGAATTCCTCTCGTATCCAATCCTTACAATCCGAAATCCTCCTTAAAATTCTTAATGCTCCCTTCTTTGTTACAAATAAAATAATCTATAAAGACCTTAATGTTCCTTATGTTTCCGATTCGGCCCAATGCAGATAACTATCCTTCCATAATAAATTTTATAACCATCTGAATCATCTGGTTTCTAACCTTGCTTCCTCTTCAATTCCTGATAATCCTCTGAGGCGTCTGAAAAAAAGATGGCCCCCTGATCTCCTTTTGTAGACATATTATTAAAATGCTACCAGTGGGTAGTTTCTCAGCAAGCGTTTTCATGTGATTATATTCCTCTGTACACATTTGCTCACAGGCGGATTTACGGGGGGGGCCTTTCGGGCTGAAGCCCCTCCCCCAAAATGGTAAAATATAACCATGTTTAATAGAAAACTTTTTTAAAAACTATCTCTTAAATTATTATTGTTCGTGTGATTGATTACATTTTATAGGACTTCAAGAATAACTAAGCCACCATGTCATATGGGTAGTTAGTTTCTTTCTTTTTCTTTTTTAAATTAATTATCGTTATATATATGAAAAAAAATCCTTCGGGCTGAAGCCCCCCCAAAATTAAATCCTGGATCCGCTAATACATTTGCTTGATGTATTTATATTAATACAGTTGTAAATATCATAAATAAATTTTTTTTTAAAAAAAGTACCCCACCGCAAAGTCAATAAACTTTGCTTTGAGTAAACAATGAATAAATTTACTAAGGTCAATGATAAAAGGGACTTTCAGGAGGTCTGATAACGCAAATTCTAGCATTATACTGAATTATTTCACGAATTGGGATTACAGAGATATGCTGTTCGGGTACGAGTACTATAATTTTGTCATCGGCATTAGTAACTTAAATCGATGTTTTCTCAAAAACATATGTCTTTTTTACGATGGTGTACTTAGAATTTAATTATCTTGAACAGTTTTTGAGTTATTCGTTCTCACCAACCCGTGACCACCTTGAAAATAACACAAAATTAGTCTCAAGTCCTTTTCCGTTCGGAATTATTTATATATCATTAGTATATATAGAAAAAATAATCTGATAAACTTTGAAAAGCGCATAATCTCTAAAAATTTCATTCAAATCAAATTTACTCTAGAATATACATGAAACTGTTGGAATTACTTACTTTACTAAGGGCAGACATATTATAAAGTGTATTCTTTCATATCCACGGCATTCTGACAAACTGCATTATGATTACTACATAACAATGGAATAATAAGTCACTTGAATTAGTTTCAATGCCACTTTCTTATAAATATATGATAACATCATTCAGAAGATAAGTTTTCTTCAGTTGGTATTTTTCTTCTTTCAGAGATTGAAAAACCATTCATTACCATCAAAAATGAGGAAGTAAGGTTCTTGAGTTGGAGCTGGTAGAGTGGGGATGGATATAACAATATATCGTTCCCTCAGGATCCGAGAGCAGCAGAGATGTTCCGTCTTCTGATTGTGCTCTGTGCCTCTACGGCAGCCCACGGTGCTCTACGTGAGTATATCTATTGTGTAAACAGGGTGGCTCTAGGAATAGTTTCCATGAGAGAGGATAATAACATAAAACATGTTCTTTTCCGATTTATTTGTTTACATTTTACTGGCGAATTACAAATTTTTTTTTCTTTCTTTATTGAATATTAATACATTCTGCCACATTAAAGTGCATAAATATTAAGGCTGCATGATTCATTCATACAATATGTACATACAATTAATAACTAAGATTGCAATAATAAGGAAAAACAAATATAAAAAAATAAAATAAGTAAATTGATATGCCTGTGTGAAAAAAAAAAATGAAATAATAGATAAAAACTAAATGAAATTAAAGTAAATAAATCAGATCCACAAATATGTACAATATTTACATTCACCCAGGGGACTCAGTCATGCCTTATTCCCCGACGTGAAAGCCTAGGCAGGACTCCAGGAGATCCCAGTGCTTCTCTCTCAGCTGCGTCACTGGTATTTGAAACCAGTGGAAAATGATGGAGGGCACTATAGCAACAGACGCTCATGTCTTGAGTGGATAATCTGGCCATTGCCAGTACTCCAATATATACATATTTACAAAAGGTCGCGGGGCCACTGCCGTTTTAACCTTCTGGGAGGATTGGAGCTAGATAGGGACTGTGCTACAGGATTTGGATGATGAATGAGGTTCTGGCGAAATTTGGAAAATTTATCTGGGATAGTCAAGAGCAAATGGGGTATGAAGGTCATTATGGAGGGTTTTATTGGATAAATAGATGGGAGTATGTACTATTGATCGGAGGATATTAGACTGGAAGGATTGAATGCGTTTGATGTTAGAAAGTTTTGCTGTCCTCCACAGTTCTATTCCGAAGGTCCAAATAGGTTTCAGGATTGTCTTGTAGATTAGTAGTTTGTTGTCGACTGAAAATTGAGATTTTCTATTCAATAGTCTATATAGTTGTCTTTTAAGTCTGGTATGTGGGTTCCTAAATTACAAATAAGAAGTACTTCTTACGGGTATTGCGGGGACTAACAGAGGATTTGAATTGAATGACCACGGAGATGTATGAGGGGTGAAGGGATTGGATTACTTGAAAGACAAATATTTATATCATTTATATAGTTATGTTTATTTAGGCCATTCTAACTTTTTTGTATGCCACTATACGAGTATAGTGGTTGGTATGTTTAATAATCATTCCTCCCAAACTCGCCATGTCACTCTTTTATAATTCCCATTTTTGGATCTTCTTGCACTGTTTCAATTCCAATTTAGTTAAGCCTTAAGACGGATCCACGACAACGCGAATATTATTCACGAACAGTGTACGTAAGCAGTAGTGTACCTAAACTATTTAGGGTCTCGGGAAGAACTTATTTTTGAAGACCATTGAAAAGTAAACATTACTGTCTGATTAAATCAAAATCTATATATTTGTTGGCAATAAACTTATCAGTCAATAAAAAAAATAAAAAAATACGTATATCTTTTTAATTCCAGTTCGACGAACTCCTCTCGACGAAACCCAAGAGTGCTCAGAAGGGGATGGGCAAATTGCGCCATTAAAATTTTTAAGGGGGGCGTATTTCGACGGAGTTTTGAATATTCGGAATGAAAAGTTTGAACCAGGAAACAAGGGCAAAAACATGGACGAGACCACAGCAAGTTTAATTGAATACTATTAGGCCCGTGTGAAAAATTTGTACAGTATATTGTTAAGTGATCAAATGCCAAATTAATAAGAAAATAAAATAATACAACGTATCAGAAGATAAGGAAATTAATTGTTACTTTATCGATAAATACAATCGAAAAAGGAAACAAAAACTTCATTAATGTTTGGAACCAACATATTTATAAATTTCAATAAGCTGTATCTTTGCTAAAAATTGTCCAATTTCGATCATTTTTTTCCCTTTGTTTTTGGCAATGATGATTTCCAATCAAACAACAATTGAATTTATTTGTTGTATTTCCAAATTACATGTTAACGTTTCGGGATATTTACTCCCATGTTTTTTTTGTTGATTCGTGGCTTAAATATAATGTGCTCCATTGCCATTGTTATTGGGTGTCTGCCATGTTGAATAATGTTTTTTTTTTTTTTCCTTTTCTAGGGAATTTAATAATCTTTTACATAATCATGCACATTAATATAATCATTTAATAATATATGTGGGAATGGGGATGTAATGATAGGATTAGGGATAACAATATTTTGTTGACTCCGTTGCCATAGAAACATGGTTTGACTTTCTATTTGATTTTTCCCTCTGCTATTCAGTATATGATTCATAACTCATCAGGATTTTCTTCTTATTCAATGTTTCTATGATCGTTGGATAGCTGAGTTATTATTACTCTTCAACATAATATCAATAACTTTTATATTTGACTCGTTTAAAAACAATAAATAAAGAAAAACTCCACAAAAATTTTTGTTTTATATCTCTAGTTTTATTATATTTATTGGGGTCTAGTTTGAATCATTTCGTGTAGCTTATGTAGTCCTAACTTAATGTAATTTAAAATTTTCGTAAGGATACGTGGAGTCATTTTTATGTTGCCCCACTTTTCGTGATGTTCGAAAGAGGTGCGAAATACAAATCTCATCTCTGTTTTAGCCATAAAAAAATATTTGAACCCACTTTCCTCCTTCGGTCAGTACAAATTGTTTCAACATCGTACTGATAATAAATATATATGCCAAATATATAGTTATTTTTAAATGAATTAATAGAACTTTCCTCATGAATATTAATCGGAAATAAGAAAAAATAAATAACAAATGAAAAAAATATTGGAAAAATTGCTAATCGATTTCGATGATTTTTTTTTTTCCTTTTGTAGGGAATTTAGTAATCTTTTATATAATCATGGGCATAACCAAGTGGAAAGTGTGTATTTTTTTAGTTATTAGCAAATAAAGTTTCTTTTCTTTCATAACTTGTTTGCCTGAATTTTCGGGGTGATTGGACTATTTTGTCCGCCTGAAGGAGAAGAAAACCTTCGTAATTGGTGGCTCAATCTTGAGATTTGGTGAAGAATTAACGATGATATGGCTTGCCGATCAAAATACCATCGATAAATAATATAAACTCCTCCTGTCTCGATCATAGAGTCGACGAAATGAGACATGTATTCACTGACAGTACTACAATTAACGTCAGGTTGTGTGGATGCGAACCCCATGCCTTGCGATATCTCGAAAATAGTAAGTTTTGGGTAAGTCTTGGTGTATGCATCAAAATCTTCAAGGTCCAATTTGTCCCGCATCGATCTACAGACCTACCACCGTTGAAGCCTAGCAAAGTGTTTGTATTGACTTTATTTATTTTAAAAAGAAAAACAAAAGTGGAGAATACGATTCGCTAACCTCCTTCATGGAATTTGAACATGACAGGAGCTTATATTTGATACAAAACCGATTTCGAACCTTACTGTAATAATATATGTGGGGATAATCTATTTTTTTTTATAATTCTTCTCTCACCTAAATTGTTTTTAAGATCAAGAGAGCAATAAAATTTCGTGGTAAGGGGAGGAGGGAGATTTATGCACCATCGATCTTAGGAGGGATGGGCATCCCTGATGCTACCCTCGCCAAAGGGTTTGACACAAATCTCTTCCTCTCTTATCCTCAAACGGGCCCAACTTAATTTTTCTAGTTTGATGTGTTATATCCCCAAAACGTCCTTATATATTTCTGTCAGCTCTTCGTTTATCCAACTGCAGATGCCTTTCAGAAAAAAAGCCCGTATTTAGAGTTTCTCTTTCTAGCCATACTTTCGAAGCTACTTGAGCTTTAATAAGCATCCATATTTCAGAAGCATACGCCAGTAAAAATCGGATTACCCGGGTTTTCGACGTCATCAATATAAGGTTGTTTCGGAAATGTTTCTGTTGTATATATATATATATATATATATATATATATATATACAGAGTGTTTCAGGGTTAAGTGGCCAAACTGCAAAAATGAACTAAGAACCTTGAAACAAGAAAAATATTTCAGCTGAAGGTATGTCCGCAAACGCTTTGTTTGTTGGAGATATTCACACCTAAAGATTTTCGTTGTTTTGAATTATTTACGTCATATGAAGTAAATAAAACCTACTTATTTGTTCTAACTACTTTATTAATTAAATATGGTATGAATGTGCCTCACTCAGCCTTAGTAAGTGTGGCAAAATGTATTATTAGTCAATAAACAGATACAAAAAAAAAATTAATTAAATGTAAACATTAACATTCATATTAAATGTTGTTTAAAGTGAAGGTATGTCCGCAAACGCATTGTTTAGGAGTTGGATTAGATAGAATTCTTACATGGCCTTTTATCCCTTCAACTGTATAAATAAAAACTGTTGGCAACATAAGGATTAATACTATTTGGAATTAGCATTGGGAACTCTCAATAACATTTATCAGTTTGTAAGAGGATTTCGCAGAGTACTCATCTAAGGAAAGCCTTACATTTATATTAATGGTGAATATGCAGATATTGGGTTTTAAAAAGTTTATGCAAGTCCTATCAATGACCTTATTTCCTTATAACATAAGGATTAATACTATTTGGAATTAGCATTGGGAACTCTCAATAACATTTATCAGTTTGTAAGAGGCTTTCGCAGAGTACTCATCATTATGCCTTCTATTTACATTAATGGTGAATATGCCGATATTGTGTTTGTATACGGTTTTCGCAATGCTAATGCTAATATGCCAGGCGATTTCCGAATAGAACATCACCAAACAAGTCTATCTTTAGTTCCACGTTTCAACGTCTTAGAGAAACTGGTAAATTTCCTATAATACCTCGTACTGATGTTATTTTTTCCCCTTTAGGAATTGAAGAAAGGAGTGCTACCATATTACAATATTTTGATGATAATCCATCTGGCAGTGTACGAAGAGCTGGGTCATAATTAAATATTATGCCAACTACAGTATAGAGAATTCTCATTACAGATGGGTCTCACCCATATCATTTTCAGATTGGCATTTAAATCAAGTTGAGCATAATCCACAATTTTCAAGAAACATTCTCTGCACTTCTTTTTACAAGAAGAGGTATCTTCAATCAGAAAAATAATGATCTATGATAACAGAAAAATCCCCATGCATTTCGTGAGTATCATTTTCAGCACCAGTTTCAGTGCAATGTGTGGTTGGGGAAAATAGACAATATTTTAATGGTCCCGCATTCCTTGCCGCCTTGACTCAATGCGGGCACATTTCTGAAGTTTCTTAATAATGATTACTATGATTTAGTTGAACATATTTCATTACAATTGAGAAGAGACATGTGGCTTCAATAGATGGTTGTCCTTCACATTACGGAAGAGTTTCACGATAATGGCTAAATGTTAATTATCCCAATCAATGGATTGGCCGTGCAGGACCAGTGGCTTGGTCTGCAAGCTCTCGAGACCTGACATCACTGGATTTTTATTCAAATTATTCCACAATGGTTTATTATTTCCAAACAATTATACATCTAAAGTAACATTACCTTCTAGTTACAAGAAAAATAAATAAAAGGTGATTCCAATTATTGGACTAAACTGTTTTTCTTTAATCATTAGTAATATGCTAAAAAAAAAAAATAGCATTACTTCCGTAACACATTCAATATTTAAAAACCACACAAAGGATAAAACATTTGGAGTAGAACGTATAAATAAAAAACCGGAGACCATATCTTTGCTCCTAATTGTCCGATTTTAACGATTTTTTTTTTTTTTTTTTTTGGTTTTTAGGAAATTTCGTAAACTTTTAAAAAACCATTACAACATTACCAAAAAAGTGTATGCTTTTTGAGTTATTCGGAATTAAATTTTACCATCCCTCGAAACTTTTTTTCGTTGAAGTATGTTATATAGATAAATTTAAAGGGCGTAGAGAAAATTACTTTAGCGAAGTTTCATTGGAATCGCTACAGTCTTTAGCAATGCAGGTTTTTTCTGCTGCCATTTTGAAAGTAAAAGGCGTATAATAATGTCGATGAAGGAGGGTCATACTTAGATGACCTCTGATTTTAATGAAAAAAAATCGGCCCAGTAGTTTCGGAGAAAATGCGTGGACAAAAAAAAATTTATTCGTGTTTCGAATTCTACTCATCCTAAAACGTGACACATCAAATTTTGAGAGGGGGTTAAGTTTTTGAATTTTTTGGTCGATCACAATGGTTGATTATTGAAAAAATAAACCATAAGTCTATGCACGTCCGGTCAATGACCATAATTCGTTTAAATAATAAAGTAATTGAAATAAATAAATAAGTTTTATTTAATTAATATAACATAAATAATTCATAACAATGAAAATCTTTATGTGTGAATATCTCCTAAACAAAGCGTTAGCGGACATGCCTTCATAATTATTTTTTTTTCTTGTTTTGAGATCCTTAATTCATATTTTCAGTTTGGCCACTTAACTCTGAAACACCTTGTATATATATAGTTCTTTTGTATATACAAAATAGCAACGCTTGAAAAAATAGAATGGAACAACTATTTTCTTTTAGATTTCCGCATCACTGTCATTCATTTCTTCACTTCTGATCCAATATACATGAACACATCAACGTTTTCAATTACCTCTTTTTCTATTAATCTATTAGTTACCTGTTTATTTGATTCGACTCAATGTGAAATTCATGAAATTCACTGTTATTCTTCACTTCCGTAAATGCATTCTTAATATTCTCTAATCAGGGGCGACCAGAAGGATGTTTCATGGCGCCATAAAAATTTTTGAGGGAGGCACATTTTGAGGGGTTTGTGAATTTTCCGAATAAAAAATTTAAAAACAGAGGAAAAGGAGAAAACTGAGAACAGATCAGGACTGCCAAGAAGGGGGTTTTATAGCGCAAGTTGCTCCAACAAATTTTTGATGGGAGCTCATTTGAAAAGGATTATGAATTTTCAAATTTCAAAATTTCAAACCAGGAGACAAAGGGAACAAACCGCAGCAAGTGTAATTGTATATGATCTCCGGTACTTTATTCTCATTGTTTTTAAGAAGAGGAAAGCAATAAAATAGCTTGGAGGTTCATGAGCCATCGACCTTACAGGGAGGAGAGATGTGCTCCTCTGGAAAAGACTTGCAAATGTAATAATATAATAATAATACTTTATTTATTCTGGGACGAGACCCTTTAGAATAATACAGGAAGACAGAAATGAGGGCTAAGGAGCCTCAGAGATACATAAATAAAAATACAGAGTAATTGAACAGTCTTGGTGAAAAAAAAAATATAAATAAATATATACACACACATACATATAAGTTGCTTTCCAAATTTGATTAGTTAGTAATAAAAAAAAAATAAAAAAATAGATAAACAAAAATTGGAGGACAAGTAATGAAGAACGAACTAATAATTTATGTACATATTTTCAGTAGTATCTATTTACGATTTTATGGGAACTGGATGGATAAGAAATGATTGAACAGGCGGGATTTAAAGGTAGGAAGGGTATTGGATTGACGGATGTAGGAAGGGATGGAGTTCCATAGGGATGAAGATCGGATAATGAACGATCTGTCGAAAGCAGCGGTTCAGTGGGACCTTATGTATAAATCAGAAGACCGGGAACGAGTATTGCGAGAACCAACAGAGGATTTGAATTGAAGGAGCTTGGATGGATGACTTGAAAGAAGAAGGATACCATGAAATACTTACGACGGTAGGAAGGATAAAGCCACTTCAACTCTGCATAAAAATGGGAAACAGAGGCGTCCCTTGGGATACCGAAGATGAGTTATATGATCTACAATTTTTTAAATTATACTTTTGCTTGCACTGTGTTTAAGAAGAGAAGAGCAATATAATATCTTGGGAGGGAGGAAAGATTCTCGCGCCATTAACCTTGGGGGGAGGGGCACTCCTACCTCTAATGATCATCCTGCGATGTCACTGTCGCCCGAAACGAAAGAATAAACTTAACTACGATATATATAATATAATGATTATATAACTTTAAATAACTGATCAAATATTCTAATTTAATTTTTTTTTAATGAATTTTGACACCTATTATTTTACACCTATTATTACTTTGTTTTTACAGCACTTGGGTGGAAAGCTTGTAGGAGGGCGGATCCCAAATACAATCAATGCCTAAGCAAGGAAATAGAAAATGCCGTAAGAAGTCTAGCTAACGGTAAGTAACAGAACAAATATTTTAAAGATTACTTTTCTTAAAAATTATTTTTGTCTTCAAATATAAATTTGCATCTATTAATAGCTTGTTGACAATAAGCAATGCACTGTTAATGTAGGAAATAATAACAATTACCTCTTCCTTCACATGATTTAGTTACGCTGATTACTCAAAAAAGAAGATCGTTCATCCAGAGCCTTTTTATTCTCATGGAAGCTGCAGCCATATATCTTATTGGTTTTTCAATATGTCGACGTAAGCTAATAGGAACTTCTTGGTGAAGAATCCGACTTCTTGGTCACTAGTTTTGATTACTTTATGGTGTAATGTTGTTTTTGTTGTTGTTTAGGGCTTAGAGGCGTAAAACTCGGAGGTCATCAGCGCCTATCCAATCTTTACTTCGATTATTTCAATGCTAAATTATTTTTGGAAAATAAAAGAACACCTTAAATTTAAATTTTGTTTATCAAATCACTTTAAGAAACTTTAACACCGATCTAACTTTAACTTCATCATTATTTAAAATATCTGATAGTTTTATTAGAATCTTAATTTGGTTAAAATTTATACGTGACAGGGACGTTCTTGAAAAATGTGGCTGACTGTAAGTGTACTGTAGCAGTATTGGATGTTTACTTGTAAGGTAAGAATATGCTAGGTTTGTATGATCTATCATTAATCTAGTTAAAGCAACTTCCTTTCTACGCTTCGAGGTGGATCATGATTTCACTGATTTTTTTATTTTCTTCAATTTACTCAGAGGACTCTCATTCCACATGGATTGCCAGCTAAGACTTATTTCATTTTTGAGAGGAAGACTTGTGTCACGTGGTGTTAAAATAGCAGCACCTCGGCCTGGAAGGGTGAGTGCTTGTTTGGACACCGCGTCCGCGAGCTCATATGGTGGAATGTGATTCCGAACATTAACTTCGAATTTTAAATAAGTATTATATTTCAAAGTATACTCTGATTGTTTTGAAGATAAAAAAAAATCATTATGTATATGTGATGGAACTATGAAACAATTCAAAAACTAAATTAAATAAAACTAAAAATCGTGGGTAGTGGGAATATTTTCAAGGTGTAATGGTTTTTTACATAACCAACATATGTTTAAGGCGATTTTTGTCTCATCCAGGAAACTTTGTTTATGCATATTTAATTAATTTTTTATCAATAAAAGTTCGGAGGTGGGAAAAAAACAGTGAAACAATTTAATGCCAGTATCTCAATATTTATAAGTATCCAATTACTAATATTTCAAGGACAAGAGTTTTTCACTTGAGAATAAAATCTGCGGAACAAACAGATTTGGAAACGTGAGGTTGTCAAGAATCAGAGCTGCCAGAAAAAAAATGGCGCACGTTGTGTCGTCAAAATGTGTAATGGTACAAATATGATCCATAACTTTTTTTTAAATTATACTTTCGCTTGCACTGATTTTAAGACGAGGAGTGCAATCAAATAATGTGGAAGATTCATATGAAAACGACCTTAGGAGGAGGGGGAAAGAGAGGGTGAACACTCCTATCAAGAAAAATAGATTTGCATTACCTAAAAAAAACGTGATAGACGCAGTGAATACTGGGTCATTATTAATACGGGGCGGGGTGGCCGAGTGGACTAAGAAGTGATAAAATTTTTTTTTTTATTTATTTATATGATATTTACAACTGTATACAAAAAATACATCTGGTAAATTCGCACATTGGTATAAAGACATGGAACACATGTTGAGAAACTACCAATTGGTAGTTCTCTAATAATATGTCTATATTAGAAGATCACGTGGCCATCTTCTTTTCAGACACCTCGGAGGGTTATCAGGAATCGAGGAGGAAGCAAGGTTAGAGACAAGAGGGTCGGGATGGTTATGAAGTTTATTATGGAAGGACAGATATCTGGATTGGGCCAAATCTGATACATAAGGAACATTAAGGTCATTATGGATAATTTTATTTGTAACAAAGTAAGGAGCATTGAGGATTTTACGAAGGATTTTGGATTGTAAGGATTGGATGCGAGAGGAATTTGAAGGTTTGGTGGAGCCCCATAGCTCAACTCCGTAAGTCCAAATAGACCTTATTATAGTCATGTAAATGAGTATTTTATAATTGATTGGAAGGTTAGAGCGTTTGTCTAGTAAGTGTTGAAGTAGTCGGAAACGTCGAGCTGTTTCTTGTCGTTTCAGTCTGGTATGAGGATTCCAGGTTAGACGTTTGTCCAGATGGAGTCCTAGTTAACGGATTTGTTCAACAGGAATAAGTGAGGTGTTGTTAAAGGATACTGAAGGACAGGAAGTCATTGGTTTACGACGTGTGATAAAAATAATAAAGATTTCGTATCCCTGTGCCAAGGGTTTAACTTTGGCATTAATCCTCCTGGTTCGGAAAATCTCCGTATAGCCTAAAAGGGGAGAAAGGGGAAGACAAAAAAAAAGTACATGATGCGGATTACCGAAGATGGCTGAGCACTAGTGTTTCCAAAAGCGGTGTTGGTCTTGCACTTTGCAAGAACAAGACCAACACCGCCTATATGTTGCAAGACCAAGACCAAGACTGTTAAAAAAAATCGATTTTTTGAATAAAAATTGAGGCAAAATAGTTACTAATACTTGAAATTTTTAGTTACTATATGTACATAGTCGGTGTAACCAATATACTTTTGCATTCAATTCTTCTAATTTTTCATTCAGACTTAGTTAGGTTTCTCATATCTAAAAAATTACAGTAATATTTCTCTATTAATAAGCTAATAGCTAACTGCAAGACTGTTACGAGACTATTGCGCAAGACCAAGACCTACACCATGACTGAATTTGCAAGACCAAGACTCGTCTCGGTCTCGCATTTGGGCAACAATACTGAGCACGTCATAGAGTATGTCATTACCGCCTTTAATGGCATAAGGGCCAGAATGATGCGGGAAACTACAATAGAATCTATCCTCTCACAGAAAATGAATTTTCTCAACTAATGACGGTGCAGAACTACCATTATTAAAAAGATTTCGTGTACGAGTGAAATGCTGCTCTGGCACACTTCAATCTGGGAAGAAGAGGGCGAACTCCAGGAAGGCCGCCATAAAGACAGAACTATTTTCTACCTCGAAGACCCGCAGGAGTGAAGAATTTTGCTTGTGTTTAAAAATTTTGTATATTTAATAGCAGAGATGGCATACTCATAGTTGTGTAATATAACATCTCTGCAAAGCTAGTGTAGCCGGAATGCAAGGCAGTGAAGAACAAATAAATAACATAAACATTATTAGTACGTGAGTTTTTCTAACAAATTGAATTTGATAAAATTAATGTGGAATCATGTTGGTAACAGCGGATCTAGTATTCTCTGAAGATTTATTTTAAAGAGATCTACAGAAATAATGTTACTTAGTGAGGAGGAATTACCTCGGTTGTTGAGTGATTAAAAAGTCCCCTCGGTTATAAGAAATTTGCAAGACTGCAGTGGGCCCTCTCCATTTGAATCTAGAATCTCAGAGGTCAGAGGAGAAGGGGTAATATGAAGTAGCAGAAATATGGCGATGGAGGAAAAGCCTAATAATATTAAAGATCCTTCAGCATCAGTGAAACATTGAAATGAAATTTTTTTTTAAAACTATTTATTCAAGATATTTACAACTGTATTACAATATAAATACATCAAGTAAATGTGTACACAAGAATATAATCACTCGAAAACGCTTGTTGAGAAACTAGCCGCAGGTAGCACTCTAATAATATGTCTACATAAGGAGATCACGGAGTCATCTTCTTTTCAGACGCTTCGGAGGGCTATCAGGAATTTAAGAGGAAGCAAAGGCTAGAAATGAGAGGATTCGGATGGTTCTGAAGTTTATTATGGAAGGATAGGTATCTGGATTGGGCCAAATCGGAAACATATGGAATATTAAGGTCATTATGAATTATTTTATTTATTACAAAGAAAGGAGCATTGAGAATTTTACGAAGGATTTTGGATTGTAAGGATTGGATACGATAGGAATTTTATGGTTTAGTGGAGCCCCATAGCTCAACTCCGTTATTCCAAATAGGTCTTATTATAGTCATGTGTATTAGTCTTTTGTAATTAATTGGAAGGTTAGAGCGTTTGTCTAGTAAGTGTTGCAGTAACCGGAAACGTCGAGCAGTTTCTTGTCGTTTCAGTCTGGTATGAGGATTACAGGTGAGAGGTTTAAAAATGAAATTAAAATATTTTTTATTATTATTGTACTGTCATTCCTTTAGAATAAGTTATAAATATAGAATAAATGCCAATGTGACCATAGAATAAATTAAATATTTACTAAATGATAGCTTATTAAAAATTAAAAATACAGAAACAAAGAAAGAGAGAGAGAAAAAAACATACATATATATAAAACAAAGATAAGAAACTAAAATTATATAAGTAAACAGAAATAGTCTCTGGGGGCACTTAAAGAGTTCTCTTAGGTACATTTCGTAATCAGTCAGATTGGTAAAGAAGTAGATATTTAAACAGGAGAGATTTGAAAGAGAAAACTTATTGCACCTGCCGCATTTCAGGAAGTATAGAATTCCAGAGGGAGACGGCTCGAATTACAAAGGATTTGTTGAAGGCAGTAGTTCGGTGGGAAGGAGGATAGAGTTCGGAAGTATGAGATCTAGTGGGACGAGATTGAATGGCGTATTTGAATCGTAGGCCTTGAAAAATATAGTAGGGTTGCGAATTCCCAAATTATCCGTAAGGACGGTATCCCAACGAATCTTTTTTGTTTCTTGGTGTATATAACTTAAAAGGAGGGAGAATAATTTCGATTCTTAGATTGTAGAACAAACAAATTATTTGTTTTTGAATAAATGTCGTTAGTGAAGAAGCAAAATACCAGGATTATTTTATCAAGTGTAATAAAGTAATGCTTTGTTAAACCTTTTCGGGTTGAAAAACAATGCGATAAGCATTTATATAATCAATGATGATGTAATACAGTGGGGAATATTCTGAATTATTCCTTTTGCAAAAACAATTGAATCCAAAACTGAATTTAATTACTTTTAATTCCCATAGACTGTTCATTGCGAATTTGACAATACGGATTTGAATTATCTAGATAGCAAGTGGAGTAATACTCTCTCACCCAGAGCCCAGACTATCTTACGTATCCTCCATGAATTGTCTCTAAACCTGTCGAACAATATTGATCGGTTGCTAGGTAACTATCCGTCTTATGACATCGGGTTTTCACGAAAATCATGCCCGATCTCTGTATTTTCGTTTTTGAGCAATTACTGATACTTGGATTACGCAGTTAGTTTTGGCAAACTCAAAAATATTAATGGAATCCACCACTAACCATCCACATCTTCATAAGTAGACAAGTAAATCATGGACGTAGTATTTGTAGTTGTATTGCTAATATGACAATGGCCTTAATATTGCTCATTTCAATTTCATTTGGGTGACCATACCGTTGAGCATCATTCATGTCAAAAGTTCCTGAATGAAATTTGGCAAACCAATTTTGTCAGGTGCATTAGGTTAAGGCATCATCCCTATAAACACTACAAATATTTCTATGAGCTTCTGCAGCATGCTTATTTTTCTAAAAACAATACAACAAAATATGCCGAATGAATGATATTTTCTTCAATATTCACAGTGCAATAGTAAACACAATACTAAGCTAGTTTCAACAAGAGTTAATAGATATAGTTGTTAACATATTATAAACAGGATAAACAATCCAGCTTTTGGATTAATTCATGAGATAGTGTGTCATAGTGACATAAAAATAAACAGAAAAGCCGAAAGGACTTATTTGCCAACACAATACAAGCAACATCAGTGAAACCTATACATCATACAATATAATATTACCAAGATAATATATTAAACACACACAATTGGTGAAACTTCATACTTCACACTAGCGGATCCAGGATTTAATTTTGGGAGGGGCTTCAGCCCGAAAGATTTTTTTTCATATACATATAACGGTAATTCATTTGAAAAAAAAAATAAAGAAATTAATTACCTATATGAAATGGTGTTTACGTGGTTCTTGAAGTCCTATTAAATAGAATTACACGAACAAGAATATTTTAAGAGATAGTTTTTAATATTTTTTGCTGTAAAACATGGTTATATTTTACCATTTTGGAGGGGGGGGGCTTCAGCCCGAAAGCTCCCCCCTCCGTAGATCCGCCTGTGATACTTCACCACAATTGTTAAAGAAGCAATTTACTTAATAAATGGTTATTTCCTCCTTTCTCTCCTCTGGAAAATATCCTTCTGTTTTTATGAGTTTTATCAGACATTTATTGTAGTTGTAGCTAGAAGCATTGAACTTGGCATTCATGATATTCCCATTAATTGGAAACCTCATTCCTCTAAATCGATCGTACCTGAAAGTTGGAAAATGGATCTATATTACTGTATTATAATATAACCAAGATTTCTTTGTAGATAATTGTATCCCACTCTTGTTTTTAACAGTTTATTTTAACATTTCCTTTTCGTACAGGTGACAAATCCCTTAAGGTGCTGCCGTTGGACCCCCTCAGGATCAGCGAATTGAAGATCGGCAAAGGCAGCGGACCCGTTTCCTTAGATCTCGTCATGAGGGATGCAGATGGATATGGGCTTAAGAACATTCAAGTCAAAGATACCAAGTAAATGTTTATTCCTATTCTTTTTTTCAATTTCAGACTTAAAACTGAGAATAAAAAAAAAAAACTATATAAGTAAAGGAACTGGGGTAGGCGAGTATGGAACTGCGTTTCTGTGCTCTGTGTCCTGGACTCTTCTCTGGCTGTAGTAGGTAATTATTTATTCTGTTGCGTCAGCGAGTATCGATCCTGGGGTGGGGAGACTTTCCTGTGGTACCCCAGCTTAAATAAAAATGGATATTTTCAATTAAATAATTAATTTGAGAAATAATTGGTTGGAGTGCGGTCAAATTAAATACTGTATACTACAATAGTATTTTATTGGTTATGCCAACGTTTCGACCCACTTTGCAGATCTTCATCAGGGCTACAAAACATAAAAGGTACAAAGTAGAATAAAATAAATAATTATTAGTGTATATTAATAAAAAAAAAAGAAACCACTATAATCCATGAAGGGTCTTGGGTTGGGTTACAGTACTATTTAGAGAAAGCATGGTTCCTTGGTCTACTGTTGTGCAAGGTGATTTGACCAAGATCACGCTCAACTGCCACGTTTTTCTCCTAAATTAATTATTTAAATTAAATGTAACCACTTCATAGAGGCTGGGTGTGCCCCAAGAGGATCTCCCTACCCATGGCTAATGAGACAGAATAAATAATTATTTTGTCTTGAGCCGGAATTCGAACCTGGGACCTTTAGCACTGGAAGCTCAGTACCCTACCACTGAGCTACCCCAATCCGCTTGTTACTTATTAATATATACTAATAATTCATTTTGAAAGCCGGGAAAGAACTAGGACTCGAAATAAACGTGGATAAAACAAAATATATGGTTAGCTGCAAAAATGGCGATACTACTGATGATATCGATATAGATGGTAATATGTTTGAACAGGTAGATAAATTTAGGTATCTAGGTTCTACGATAACTAGAAAAAACGAAATTGAAGAAGAGATTAAGATTAGACTGAAGGCGGGGAATGCTTGTTATTTTTCTGTGACAAAACTACTTAGTTCGCGCCTCTTGTCCCGAAACTTAAAAATTAGAATCTATAAAACAATTATCTTGCCTACAGTTCTTTATGGATGCGAAACTTGGCCGCTTACATTAAGGGATGAGCAGCGTCTTAAGGTTTTTGAAAATAAAGTATTGCGTAGAATATTCGGACCGAAGAAGGATGAGTTAACCGGAGAGTTCAGACGGTTACACAACGCCGAATTGCGTGAGCTGTATCCGGGTAATATAATTGAGGTAATTTCATCGCGGCGAATCAAATGGGCTTGTAAAGTTGTTGGGCTTAGTAACGAGAGAATTCCTAAAAGGTTAATATTTGCTGTGCCGAATGGTAAGCGTCCGAGGGGTAGACCGAAGCGAAGGTGGGAAGATTGCATTAAAGCCGATCTGAAGGGACTGGGTGTGGACGGCGAACGGTGGAGGGAGGTGTGTAACAAGCGATTGGTGGTGTCGGCATCGAACCTTCGGGTGCGCTAAGCCTTATTATTATTATTATTTAATAATTCATTTTATTCTAATTCGTACCTTTTATATTTTGTTTCTTTTGTAGCACTGATGAAGAAGAACTACAAGTAGGTCGAAACGTCAGCATAACCAATAAAATACTATTGTAGTATATAATATTTGAATAGACCGCACCCCAATCAACTCCTTCTCAAATTATAATTGTAGTGAATCATTTCCGTACCATTATAAATAATTAATTAAAGGAAATGCTTGCCGATTGAATATAATCTTGTTCAAATTACTTTGCACGATCATTGACCAAGAATTACTTTCATTCATTACATTACTTTCACACAAATCCAAAATCCTCCAAGGATTGTTTTGGTACTGTTGTTTTAAAAAAGAAAATGCTACATAAATATAAGGTATTGGATAGGGAAATTCCAATGTCCTCCCATATTCAGTGGCTAGCTTAAATTTCCTTTATAGCAAGTAGAATTTAATATTTGTCATCACCCCTGGGGTACAACCAGCCTTTGAAAAGTTGGTGATTACGGATCCTTATAGGAAATTGTTTACAGAATAAAAAGTCCTTATAAACAAGGAGTTGTAAATCAAGCCTGTACTGTATTAAAAACATGAAAATAATTTTTTTCAAACATTAATACTTACTAAAAATAAATATTTACCTCCACCCAAACACTCGAAGACAAATCGAGAACTCCTTACCCATGCTAATAATTCTGTTTAAATAAATAATACATTTTATTATGACATTAACAAAGTCAAGCAATATCAAGTTTTTTTCTCCTCAATTACCTATACTGCATTCATCAACTTCCTAATAACATAGAAACCAAATATAGAGGTTTATGATAAATATACAAGCTAGTAAGAAATTTATTTCATCATAAGTATTCAACCTACCAAAAAGCAACTACTTATTATTTAATAAGTTAAAATTTACTTAATTATTTCAATGAAATATCATAATCAAAGTTTATTTATCATTTATTGATATTTCTAAATACTTCAATAGTGAAGATGTCAATTTTCCATTAGTAGGGATGTGCTCGATGAGTTGAAGGGGATATACTCTGATTTCTTGTGGTTTAAACTTAAACACCTAATGAATTGCGCATTACGTTTTGTTTTCGTGAATCTTAAGAGATACGCAGATTACTGAGTATTAAATTGAGTTGAAGTGGCTCAGTACTTCCTAGCTACCTTTCTGTACCAGATCATTAGAACTCATCGACCCTCCTATATTTTTCACAGCTTACAATTTAAATGCTCCTTGCAATCCCTTCCCACTAGAACTCATACTTCCGACCTCTATCCTCCTCCTCACCGAACTGCTGCGTTTGACAAATCCTTTGCAATTCAAGCCGCCTCCCTCTGGAATTCCATCCCTGCTGATATTCGACATGCAGAATCAGTTTCCTCTTTAAACACCTACTCTTTTCTCAATCCGACTGTACAAAATATACCCAGAACTATCTAAGTACTCCCGGAGACTATTTCTGTTATTTTAGTTTCCTTCGTTTGTCTTATGTATATATATATGTATATGCTTTTCTTGTCTTTTTCTCTCTATTCTTCAGTATTTTTACTTTTAATTAACTATTATTGTAAATATTTAATTTATTTAGGACCACAAAGACATGCATTCTCTACTTATAATTTGTTCTAAAGAGACAAAAATCCCAGAATAATAAAATATATTTTCATTTCACTTCATTTATCACCCGGCCTTATTCAGAAAACTTCTCTAAAAGTTTTCTAAGCATCTATTGTAGTTCATATTCGCCTGATGCAATTACTAACTGTTCATCCTCAAATTGCTAGAAGAACTGGAAGTCCTCACCGATCTTCACACCCATATATCAGCATTTTCCCCTCCATTTCTTCAGGGCTTGTTTAATAAAAACTGTCACAATACTGTATAAAGACCATAAATTTTATTGTAAATAAAAATTGGTAAGATATGGTTGGCCATGACCGATTAATCAGAGAGATTCATAGACTCTTACACCATACAAGTTCACACGAACAAAATAATTTTGACCATGTAACCATTTTGAAGTCTACTTTTATTTTATTATATGTTTCGAGATAAGATTAGTATTTTAATAAATAAACTGATAATATTTATTAATTTCTAGGAATGATTGGAAGAGAATGACAGTTAAAGCATACATACCAAAGTTTACTGTGCTTTCTGACTATAAAGTCGATGGAAAAGTAATGGTTCTACCCATTACAGGCGAAGGAAGAGGAAATTTGACTTTTGGTAAGTAACCAGCATAGAGTCTGAATAAATCCAAGATTTTTCTCTATCAAAATAAATTATTAAGGTGCTCTGGAGTAACTGGTTCATGATTTTATTATGTGATCTTAAATTGTCTTCATAAAAGTGTAATAAATATGACAGTAACAAGTAATTTTTGTTTGCAAGTTATTGTATGATTATTTAGCAATAAATAGACCAACATAATGTGTGTTTTCATCCAATACATATGTAGTATAAATGTGGGTCATCATCAAGACTAAAATTAAAATTAAATAAAAAATATATGATAAAGACAGACGTACCTAAATAAAACAAGATAAATAATCCACATAAATTAAGTGGCAAGGTTTCAATTTGAAACTTTCAAATAATAACAGATACATGTGTGATAATTATTCAGGAGGCAGTCTTTTTTTTTATTATTTTATTTTATTTTGTATTTATGCCAATGTTTCAACCCAAACGAACCCAGAAGATCTCTATCACTTCCTGGCTGCTTGTTCGATAATCCAAAAATATTTTGTATTGTTTTGCAATTGATATTATGTAACTTTTTCTTTTTCTTCTTCTCTTCTTCTCAAAAGGGGATTTGATGGCGCAAAATTTTTGAAAGGGGCATATTTTGATAGGGTTTAGAATTTTTGAGGGTGACATTTCGACAAGGTTGTGAATTTTCGAAATGAAAGTTTCAAAAGAGGAAAGCGAAGAATAGGCCACTGAAAGTGTCATTGCATATGACTTATTATTTTTAAAATTCTACTTTAGCTTGCACTGTTTTTAAGAAGATGAGAGCAATAAAATATCTTGGGAGAAGGGGGGCAGGTTCAAGGGTCATCGACCTGTGAATTTGGAACATGAACAACTCCAGGTTATATTTTTGAAGCATGATGTAGAAAATGCCTGAAGTACCTATTGTAGTACATTCAATTGATTTAGAAAAAAATATGCTGTAATCTCAATCATTTGATTTGAGTAAACGTTATGATAAAATAATTCATTATAGAAACAGGTAATTAGCAAGAAATTATGGATTATTTAACATTCAACACGCCGTTGTTTGAAATAATTTATTTTTAAAATAATTGAACCTACAACTACAAAATGGCTTCTAAAGAAATAATGGCTGTTGCTCCATAGAGAAACAAAGAAGACCAAAGTGTGCCAAAAAAATAACATAATTCTCATAAATTAGGATGTTAATGTATCTATAATTTATTTCCTCGTCTCAGAAGCTCCAGAGCATTTTAATAACAATAAAAATACTTAATATGATTGAAATATTAAAATAAGAGTTTGTATTCGTGTATAACGTATAAAGGCAAAAGATGGATTGAACTGTTGTACTAATTTGTCAATATTTATATTTGGAACTTTATTTACAGAGCACTTAACAGTAAATGGTGAAGTTAAATGGAAAAGGATAAAGAGAGGAAATACTGAATATTTCAATATGGAGTCCTTGACTGTACCATTGATGCCTAAAAGGATGTACTTCAATCTTGAAAATCTCTTTAATGGCAACAAAGCCTTAGGTGAGTTTAATTTTGACTGTTCAGATTTTAAGTACATTCTGGTATGTCCACTCACACCAATTTTAGACATATTTATACAACCTTAATAAGTCCATTAAAAAAAAAAATTGAATTATATTAATTTATTATGTCTGTTCACACTCAAGTTTATGCCTCACAGATCAGGATTAATACTGTAATAGTAATACTGATCCATGAGGTGTAGACTTAAGTGTGAATAGACATTATAATATAATAATATAAAGGTTAATTATTTTAAAGATTATAGTAATTTAGGTCAGAGAAATGATAAGAGTATTATTATTTTTATAAACTAAAGCAATGTAAACGGACATGTGAACCATCCTCAAAATCAGCTTATAAAATTCAATGCTGTAACTTTGCAAAAACTGGTCCAATTTGAAGGATTTTTTCTTTTAAATTTAGTTCAGTCGGAAACTTAATAAGTTCTCAAAATACTGGAAGTATATTGTTCGACTCAGAGGAGTCTAAAATGTAAATATTTGTTGAAAACTTCACATTGCACAGGCACTGGTAGTCAAACTCTACAAAACAAAAAAAGAAGCGACAAAATCAGTCTACTTGTTCCCTACATTATCTTGGCACAGGCAGACAGACCAATAGCTGAAATGTGTTTTTCGTACTCAGGGGGCTACGGAACGTAATGATCCCTTGAAAACGGCACATCTGAAACCTGACCTGATTACAATACTTTCCTAACTAGGTAGCGGTAAAAAAGTAAAAAACCGATTTCATGTTATTTGATCTAGAAGATTATATAATACGAAGTAACTTACTGAGTAATATAAATATTTGTTTTCAAAGCCCAAAGTTAAACTATTCAAAGTCAAAATAAATTCTGACATTTAAATCAAAATCGGTTTAATTCCAACCTTATAAACTATGCAATTCATTCAAATAAAATCAATATATTAAATATTTAAAAGGACTTAATAATATAAAACAAACGAATAGTGTCCAACTTCGATGTTTTTAAGTGTATGAAACTGCTGTTCTCTTTTAAAAATTAAATTGTTTTTTTTTTAATGGACAGAAATTTTGTTATATTTTATTAGTTTTTAACAAGCACTATTGTTTAAAAATAATAAGATATAATATTTTGTCTATCCCTGAACATTATTGATTTTTATTTCATGACCCCTTAAAAGTATATTACAGTAATTTATATAAAAAAACAGTTTTTGTGCATAAAACCATCAATGTTAAAGCACACTGAAACTCAACTTTAGAGAGTCTACATACAAGAAAAAGTTTTTGTACATGCAATCTCCGAGTTCTTGATATTTGAAAAATTATTAACATCGTATAGAAATTTCACTAACACGATCATTCAAATAAAATTTCTATGTTAGTTTCTAATGCTACTTCAAAGGAAGAAAAGACTAATCTATGAATGAATTTTTTAGGTGATAATATGAATAAGTTTCTCAATGAAAACTGGAGCGATATCATGGATGAACTAAGAGATCCAGTCTCAGAAGCATTATCGATGGTATTTATACAGATAGCAAATCAAATATTGAGCCAAATACCTGCCAATGAAATCGACAAATGAAAGTGTTAGATATTTCAGCTGTTGTATCACTATTTAACAAGGACCCAGTATTACAGGCATTAGCTGAATAAATGATGAATTGTGTGTAATTTATCAAGCTGATTTATATTTGAACTAAATAAATTTATTTAATTATGTTAGTAATATCAAACCACTATCAAAGAAATGAAATTCTTATAACAAAATCATGTAATAAATATAAGTGTAGAAATAACAAAATCGCATAATTATCCATACAAATTGTATTATATTTTTTAACATTTTTTTGTATTCAACATTTTAAGGTATCAATTTTATAATGTATTTTCATGAAAAATGAGATTAAAACATACTTAACTTTCATATCATTCCTCCACTCAATTTTACAGCCTAGCATTATTTTCAGAATAATTATTTTTTATATTTTAAAGCTAATAAAGCCAATTTAAGATCTTTTGTTTCTTATTTCGTAATGGGAATAAAAATTATGTTACCACCTCCTCATCTTCCTCCACTATCTTAATACTTTCTCCTAGGATCAACTAGTGCTATATTTATCACAAAATATAACATTTTAAATAAATCTTACAATAGAAGAATTTTTTTAATTTTGCAGGCAGTCATTATGTTATATAAAGAACATAATATATAACTAATTAATAAGAAAATAAGACCAATTATATTTACAATGTAAAAGTCATATAAATATTTTAATTACAAAAAGAGTGGTACCAACATTCTCCAATTTATTAATTGGTAAATTATCTGGAGAGCAGCAATTTTGTAGGAGAAAGCAGATTTTCAGTAATTTACCAATGCTATTCAATTGTTTCCACTTATTAAATCTATTACTTGATCCCGAGATAAATTTCTAATCATTTAATTCTGAATTCAGAGAGTATCGGACAAGCAGCCAGGAAGTGAGAGATCTTTTGTTTCGTTTGTATTACACATGCTACAAATATTATTTGTTTGCTTGAAGTTTTTATAATTTAAGTTCAAAATATCAGCTCTAGTTTTAATTAACCATCTGATCACCTTCAATGAACTTTTGTCATCAATATAATTTACTGAAGTTAAATGAGGATAAACTGTGAAAGTTTTAGAATTCTGAACTTTAAATGCATATTGATTATATATATATCTTTCTGAATTTGAATTCTTAGTAAAGATAAATTTCGCAGCTAGCAGTTATAAACAAAAGTGGTGCTATCCTACAATATATTAAATAGTATGGTAAGGTATTTTTAAAAATAATAACATAACATTCTTAAAAATTATATATTTACATTAACATTTATAAACAAATTTTATATTTTCAAATATACAATGTTTTTTTTGTTTTTTTTTCTTTCTTATGCCAAAGATGTTGGTCATTTGGCCATTAGACATCTTGCTGCCCTGTATAAGTTAGATTTTTTAATATATATATTTTTTAAAAGGATTTTTCTCTTATGTCCGTCAAGGCAGGACCTGTTAATGATAAGTGTCTAGATGGTCTACATTCATTGTTTCTAGATGACACAATTTCCAGCAAGGATCCCCAGCCACGCCTATCTTGTAGAGATGACTCTGCAGATAGCCGTGACCAGTGGCCAGGTGGAAGCAGGCAACTGCATCTCTTTTTGGTAGTTCAGCTGGAATCGCATTATCTTTCAAACACTCTTAGCGTTTCCCTTCTACTTTGCCGAAGTGTACTTTTCTAATTTCTTCCTTTACTACCATCTTTACCATCAGATATACAATTCAATGACATACTGTTCCTGAATATTTGCATTGATGCATCACAGGCTAAGCAACAATTTCGGAAAATATTTTAACAACTGATTTTGTTTCAGAATTTGCCCATTTCGTCTTATCGTAAAGGTACAAATCAAGACGAAACTTGGATGCAATTATGCTCCCAGGAACTGTTCTACAAATACTTCGGTCCAACTCGGACATGATAAGGTGCTTTTCTTTTAAACTTGCCCGTGACCACAGAGCTTCTACGACCCGAGAACCAAATTTATCCAGAACAAGGTCTTTGTAGTGTCCCTAAAATCAAATCAAATATATCTTTATGCCTGGTTGAAACTTGAAACAAAAACGAAACAATTATATATGTATTTTTTTTTCTTACTTTAAATTTGTGTATGAGTCTATCTCTACTCTTTTCACCGATTGTCTTTGAAGAGACGTAAGCATCAACAATATAGGAGCCTTTGGGATCCAAGAAGATTTCTTTCAATTTATTGGTGTCAACAGATAAAAGGTTTTCAACAATCTGAAAACAAATTTAATCATAATAGTATTCCAAGTTGAGTTAATTTTGAAAATTCTAGGCTCAGATTGTCTAAACTTCAATTCCTGGACCAGGATATTACAAACTCACTTTAAATGGTTATCATTAGGGACCACATTTTTTATTTAAAATCAAAAACTTAACATGTCATATATATATAGATAATATATATCTCTACAAATATGTAATGAAACATGAGAATAGAAACCCTGAGAATTGATTTAAAAAATATATATATTAAAAATTATAAGTACTTTTAGAGATGGATATATAGTTGATTATTGAAATTGTAAGAATAAAAAATAGTCAGGATATGCAATCAATGTTTAATAAATTTACTAACATTTTGACTCAATCATATGGATCATCAGGGTGATGGCTTGAAGGCAAGACAAGAACTGAGTTAAATAGTAGTTAGATAAATCAAAATTGGCTGAAATTGTATACAATTATTATAACATATATTTATGTGGCTTCTATTTAGAATAAATGATAAGATTTTCTTACAGAAATTGGTTTCTTAAACTGAAATAAGGTCTGTAGAAGAAGGGAACCATTTTTATTAACAGTGTCACCGGAAAGGAATAGCAATTTGAGAACCAGCTCACCATTGCTGCTATGTTCAGCTTTAAGTGCTTCTTTCAAACCCTTAAAACAAACATGAAATAAATGAATACATCTAAATTGATTTAATTTCTACTTTAAAAATATTCAAGAATATGTAAACAATATTATTAATGAAAAAAATATTAATTAATAAGAAAAAAAAAGACGTACTTTAAGAAATTCTCCTTCACTTGATTTAAGGCGGATGCAAGCTTTTGCCATTTCAACAAGTACTCCAAGATTGCCAGCACTGATGAGTTTTTCAAAATTAGGAATCAATTCTACATTGATCAACTTTAGCTGAAATGAAAGTTCATTTTTACACGATGAATCATATATAGCATATAGGCATTGTCGATTACTTTATAATATTTGGAAGTTTATTATGACATTATGCTATATTCTTATTTTCTTAGACAATTGTGATAAGTATTCAAATTGTGATAATAAAATGAAATTACAGTTACTAACCTCGGAGAGATCTTGGCACGAGGAAATAAGTTTTTGAATGCATATAAAGCATTTTTTGTTACAAGAAAGCAATGTAAGTCGACTGAGGAACAGCATACTTAGAATCTGAGTATACCTCTTCCCCGTCGAAACTTCAATCATAGCTTCCAAAAGCCTAAAGAAAAAAAAATTTAAATTAAATCCTTAGAAAAAAAAAATATGTATTCAATAATATACTAAGTATAATTTATATTTGAGGATTAACACTCAATTAAAACATCAACCCAAATTGAAATATATATACTACAAAAAATTATCAATTTTTCATTCTTAATAAATAAATATCACCAGTATTATTTATTTATCAGTATTATTTATTTACTTATTATATTTATATTTATTTCTTTATTATTTGTATATATTGTATGAATGAGAACTTGTAGCCCTAATGCTTATAGCCCTCCAGCAGTGGCTGATTGTATTATTATTCAATAAACAGATTAAAAAAATAAATAAATATAAACATATAGATGAAATTATTTACTTTCCTTAACCACCAACAGCAGCGGCTATTTAAGTATCATAAAACAGGAATTTTATATCAGTAATATTATTTCAAAATTAGAATATCTTTGTATCTTTGATGAAAAATGCAAAAACTAATAACGGAGTGATTGAATCAAAGATGGCTTCCCTATAATACTGGAAGATAGTTCTCTATAAAAACAGACAATTTTTTTTCAGTAAGTTGAAAATAACAAAGAAGCGTATTTTTAAAGCCTAATTGGGTAAAAGTATCAATCCTCGATTTGTAAAGTTCTCCTGTTTTATGATATTGTGATATAGACAAACTTTCAGTATTCTTGTTTTTAAATAATTTTTAATGTTTCAGGGAATCCAGAGTACAAAATCCATTTTTGGTCAGTAGTCAGTATTTCCTTCAGAATATCTCAAGGACAACATAATTATGGCTGTATAAGACACTGATCAGCCCGGTCTTGACATAGGGCTCAGAGACTTGGGTAATATCACGGATGGATGAGCAAAGTTTATTGACTTTTGATAGAAGAATTTTGTGGCGCATTTATCGACCTAGAAGAGTTGGCCAAGGATACCTCAGGAGCGGTAATTCAGAAATGTATAACCTTCTTGATAAACCTGACATTGTGAAGCATATAAGGCTGGTAAGATTGAGGTGGGCTGGCCATGTAGCACGAATGTCAGAGGATGAGATCCCCAGAAAAATTATGAGCGAAGCCATTCATAGTACCAGGTGTAGAGGAAGATTGTGTCTTAGATGGATGGCATAGCAGAAGATACCTGGACGTTCCTGGGGGTTAGGGACTGGAGTACTGCTGCCCGACAACGTGCAGACTAACGGAAGTTATTGGAGGAGACCAGGGCCATCAGTAATGGTCTGTCGAGCCAATAGAAGAAGAAATCAGTGTTTCTGTTCCACGATCAACTTTTGAACAGGTGAACTAATTTTGTTGTATTTATTTCTTTATTTGGCCATTTCTGGTATAAGGGAAGGTTTATCCTAGAAGTCATCAACCTATTCAAGCCAGTATGGGAAGGTCGAGATTCATTCTGTGAGTCCACCAAAAAATAAAATTTAACCTGTCCAGGCTGGATTCTAACCAACTTGATTCGAGATTGCTAAGTTGATACCATAACACTTATGGTTATCAGATCACCCTATGCTCTAATAATTTTGACCAAACCTGTCTAAATCCTTATCCTTGAAGCCTTTTAACTTTTCATATGTAGCAGGAAAAAAAGTAATTTTATTTACATAAACCTCAAAAGACATAGTATTTTATAGAAAATTCTAAATAATCATTTGACGTGTAATTAAATTCTTGACCAAACTCAAAAAGAAGCACAAATGGACTTTGTGCCAAAATATTTTAATGTGATATGTACATGTTTTCATGGAAACCAAATAACTCAAAAACTACACCTCTTCCAGAATAATCAGGATGTTGGTATGAAATAATCATATTTTCTACAGATATAATTATAAATAATAGTAATAAAAGAACAGGAACAACCACATGCTAATCAGAATATTATTAGCAGAGAAACAGTAAACCACTTTTGAATTGCAATTTGCACGAAATAGTTAATAAAAACGATCTCTAGTAACTAATGATAGCATTAAAAATGACCACTCCAAATGGAATCACTACACTCCATCATTCATTTCTACTCACAGAAAGCAATGGGCACACCTATAGGCCATTTTCAAAAATATTTCACACTCAAAAATATAATTATTTAAGGTATTAATAAGACGAATTAAACCTGAATATTATTACAAAAATTATTTCAACACCTAGAAGGTTAGCAATTTTATTAGCAATTTACTTTTATAAAATTTTATTATTAATAACTAATTGATAATTTTTGTCACTTGTTTTTCAGTAAAATGGAAAAATTTGGTGCACACATACTTTATATTTACAGCTTACAACTTAAAAATACAAGTACCTTGTAGCAGCCATAGAACTAAATATATTTTCAACATCTGTGTTTTCCAGTTTGACATCTTCGATGAGAAAACATTCGTTTAAAAGCTTTTTAATCAATTTCTGGGTCAGTTTAAGATCTGTTTTAGACAGTGACGTTAAGAGTACCTGCATGAAACCTGATGCCAGCTCGTTGTTAGTTACAACTAGAACCATAAAATATAATAAATATATTAGGAACGTGATATATTCTCATAAGAAAGTAATTTTGATTGAGAATTACAACTATTTAAATTTAGTAATTACTGTTGATCAATGAATCACAGTTCAAACTATTATTTTAAAATATAATCTTAACCTGGAAGCCTCATAGATAACATAAATACAAATACATAGCAATATAAACTTAACACTGATAAACACCCTTCTTCATAAAAAAAACTCACTAAAACTGGGGTCATTAAAAGGTTCATGTTCTCAAGTGTTCATAAACCTTTTCTATCCGTAAACTACTAACTGACTAAATAACTGGACTAGACTCGATTCATGAACTGGACTGCAAGCTTGGCGAACCTCATAAAGTTCTAGGAGGGGCTAAACAATTCTTTCAAATCCCATTGGTTAAAAACCGCCAGTTCCCAAATTATCTAGATCTTTCAAATAGCTTTTTTGACATCCAAAACAATTATAGTATTAAATTTAACAAATCATGATTATCACTTCAGGATTTACGAAATAAATCACTTTTCAATAAATATCACTGTAAGATATAAAGCAATACAAGAAAGATGTAAACAAGCAAACATTTAAAATATGCTTCTTCTACTGCCAATACTCAAAATCACAGTTACAATCCAGAAAATTTCTTTTTCTTCTACAAGTCATACAATTAATTAATTACTACTACTCTTAAATCTTATCCCAATGACTATAGTTCTGACAATATTACATTAAAACTAATAAAATGCTGCCTATAATTACTACTGATCTTCATCCTATTAACAATTTTTCTCAGCAAAACTAAATTCCCTTTTTTATGCAAATCATACAAATTTTTCCCAACTAAATAGCTTCCATTCTATTTCTTTTGTCTGTTAAATTTTCAAAATCACTAGAATGGCTAGTACATCAACTTTCCAACATCTTAGGGGAGCACTACCATATTAACTCTCTCCAACCTTGCTACTCAACACATCATTCTCTAGGAATAATGCATTCAACCTTTGAAACAGATGGAAGGTAAGAAGGAAGAAACAATCGGATCGATAAGAGGTGGAGAACAGATGGATTGATAAGAAACAGTTATAACTGTGAACTGTATAGGCATCTCTTATTCATTCATGTTTGTGGAATGGAACACTCAAATTATTTCTACCATTCCTAATCAATTAGACCACTCCTCACCTACCAATCTAGCTGCCCCCAATTTTTTTTTCTTTTTTATTTTTCCTGTTCTTCCCTACCTCGCCTTTTAGGCTATACAGGATTTTCCCGGACCAGAGGGTGAGGGCGGGGAATTTAAAATCCCCTCTGGCACCGGGACGCAAACTCGTGACTATTTTCATATCATATATCCGGTTGCCCAATACATAAGAAAGGAGATCAAACAGAATGCGCTAACTATCGAGGAATCTCACTCCTTTCGTGTGCTTATAAACTGCTCTCTAACATTCTTTTTGAGAGGATTCTCCCGTATTCTGAAAAGGAACTGGGGAAATATCAGGCTGGATTTCGAAGAGGACGCTCAACCACTGATCAACTGTTCTCTCTGAGGATGATCCTAGAAAAGACTATGGAGCGTAAGGTAGTCACCCACCATTTATTCCTAGACTTTAAAGCAGCATACGACAGCGTTGATAGAACGCAACTATACTGTGCCTTGGAGGAGCTAAGCATCCCTCAGAAGCTCGTACGCCTAATCAAGATGACCATGGACAGCTCGAGATGTAGAATACGCGTCGGTTCTGACGACTCCGAAGAGTTTAAAGTGAGCAGTGGGGTTAGGCAAGGGGATGCCCTCGCCTGTCTATTGTTCAACTTGGCAGAGGAGAAAGCTGTAAGAGACTCCGGTATTCAGACCAACGATATAATCTTCAATCGCCTGACACAGCTTCTTGGTTTTGCTGATGATATTGACATAATAGGTAGGTCTGAACAGGCTCTCAGAGAAGCGTTTATAGGCCTTGAAGCAGCTGCAAGACCACTTGGTCTAGAAGTCAACGAGAGGAAAACTAAGTACATGAGAGTTGGTGGTGAGGTGGATCTGAACTCTCCATTTGAGGTAGGTTCTTTTAAGTTTGAGAGAGTGAAAAGTTTTATATACCTTGGGTCTGAAATTAATAGCAAAAATGACATGGCTCAAGAAATACAAAGAAGGATCACGGCTGCCAATAGATGTGTCTATGGACTTGGCCGACACTTAAGAAGTAGGTACCTCTCAAAGAAGACCAAGCTGATCATATACAAGACTCTTGTTCGGCCTGTTTTGACATATGGCTCAGAGGCTTGGACGATGACCAAACACGATGAGATGAAGCTGAGTGTGTTTGAGCGAGGAGTCCTCAGAAGGATTTATGGTCCAGTAAAGGAGGGTGATGTCTGGAGGAAAAGAAAAAATAGGGAGCTCAGTTCTCTCTATGCAGACATCGACGTAGTCACCTATATTAAACTGGCCAGACTAAGGTGGGCAGGGCATGTGGCCAGAATGAGCACCGTTGAGATACCCAAGAAAATAATGATGGAGGAGCTGCACCTCGCAAGACGGGTAGGAAGGCCGAGGACGAGGTGGTTGGACAACGTGGCCTATGATGCGAGAACCCTGCTTGGTGTACGGAACTGGAGAGCTGCAGCAGAAGACAGAGCCAACTGGCGGAGGCTCTTGGAGGAGGCCCAGTCTCGGTAACGGGATGTCGTGCCACACATGAATGAATGAATATCCGGTTGCCAGGCAACGGCGGTGCAGTGCACACGCGTTAGCCCATTCGGCCACCCCGCCCTCACTGGCTGCCCCCAATCCATTTGACATCCAGAGGCACCGTTGACTTGCAATTCCAAACCATTGGCATTATCCTATAATTCTCTACAGCGAGAATAAATTCCCTGTTTCAAATCCAGTTCCCCATCCTATCATCCATAACTGATATACACATAGGAGATGAAGAATTAAGATGAGATCTATGATACATAAAGTAATTAGTATGGCTTTTAAGATAATAACTTTAAAGACCCCTGGATTTAGATGTACATGACATAATAGATGTTGTTATGACAATATTTATAAACTTACAATCCAAGGTAGGCCATTTCATAATTCTTAAAGCAAGATTATCAACGATTTCGGAAGATAACGGCTTATTGCTTTCATTTCCTGAACATTCTTGTAGACAGCACCTACCAATCTGATTGGCATATGGATCTTCTATAAATTCTTCTAGATTATTGAATATAAAAAGTGAAACCCTCTTTACATATTCACAATACTTGGATTCATCACTTGATTCTCCTTTCTCCTGAAATAATGACTTCATTAACTTTAGTCTGATATAAAATAGTCATTAAAAAGAAAAGCTTATGTAATTTTATTCAAATAAATAAGTTCACAAAATACCCAATCAGTGTCTAAGGGAAGTTGTCAGTTTAAAAATGATTTCAATAACAATAAAATAAGCATAAATACCCTCTCCTCAATTTTTTCCAGTTAGGAAATTTTGTCAAGAGATGAATAAGAGGCCAGATCAAAACAGTTAAAAATCATTTCAACTTTAAAATCCTCAAATCCAATAAAGAGACCAGGCAAAAGGTTGCACAGTAATTCTGAAAGTGAGTAGGTGTGTTTGAAAGTAGAGGTGGTGATAGATTTCCATATTAATTTAAAAAATAGCCATCGTGGGTGGAACAAGATAAGAATAGGAAATAGATAAAATTCCAAAATGCCAGTGTCCAAAAGTAGACTAAGGTGATTGAACATTCAAACAATACCCTAAATTTAACATAAGGAGTTTGAGGAACTCCTAAATTGTGATTTAAATAAAAGAAGGTTGTATTCCTAAACATGTCTTTACTCAGTCTGTTTCACAATACTCTGCACATATCTTGCATGCACCCATAAAAATGGAGTTAGACGCAAAGATAAATTTGACTGTCTTGATAGAAACAAACAAAACTGCATAAAATTTATATTAAGCCTAAGCATCAAAAACTAAATAAAATACTATTAATTGTAACTATATATGAGAGATCATAGATACACCAACTTACCCTAAATCTGGAAGCACAAACTTTAATCAAAGTTTGCAATACATGACTTGCGTAGTTGTCAGTAGACAAAATGCGCAGATCAGAAAATGAAGAGACAAATTTGAATAAAATATCATCATTGGAAAATGGTAACAGCTTCTCAATCACGCGAGAAACAAACTGATTAGAGGAAAGGTGCACTTCTTGGTCTTCTGTCTCCTTAAGAGCATTATTAGCAAAAGTAACTAAAAACAAAAATGTTCATTCAATGATTAATTTAGGCAGTGTAAGGTAATATGCTGAAAATGACAAACATACTTTTTTCTTCTTCCGTTTCAAATTCTTCCAGTTTCATTTCATATATTTTTAAAAAATATTGATACACATCTTCACCCACGTGAGTACCTCTACCATACTGTCCTTTTCGCCCATATTTCCTTGCTTGACCTAATAGACTTCTCTTCTGCTTACGTTTTCGAGATTTCTTATCCATCTCCAATAATTTAAATTTCAATAATATATATACAAGTCAAGACAACTTATAGCAGTTCATAAAGATAAACAATATTTGAATTCAGGAGGTTACAGCCTAAAAACGAATTACCAAAGAGGTATTAACATCGAGTTATTTTATAGCAATCTTCTATCAGTTTAAATAAGAGATACACTCACTATAATTATAGACTAGTTGCTACCAATTTCATTAAACGGAAAGACTTATAGCTAGTAATCATTTTGAATCGTAGATAAACCTCATCTGAACCCGCAACTTCAGTTAGTCGGTTGAAAGCCGTTGCTTTATATACGAAAATTTAAATTAAAGAGGGGAAATATGACAGATCATTTAACGGAAGAAATGGTGGCTGAAATTTTCATATTATATAAAGAACATGTTCCTAAAAAAGAATTCATCTTGACTGACGATGCACTCTGTTGCTTTTCGAGAACTGACGACGTCAAAGTTATCAAATTAGGCCAGTTGGATAGTAGTCGAATGAGAAAAAAATTCAAATAGTCGATTTCTCTTAGGATATATTTGTTTTTTTGTGATCCTGAATCTGAACTTAACGTTCCTGAATGAAGGTTTCCATTGCATTCCGAGATATATGAAAACGAAAGCGACATTTTAAGCGGCTGTTAAAGTGCATGAAATCGAAGGCGTATTTCTCTTGTAGCATCTGCCGCTCTAAAATTTATTTTTGTCTTTAAATTGCTTTTGATTAGGCTAATTTAACTATTTTATAACTTATTAGAACAGAACTAGAATGTATAGGCAAATTACATAGCTTTTATATATTCTATTGGTATGAGAGACTTTATCATCCATAACAATCATAAAAAAATTAAGGACCAAAATGCGCTTTGGATTACTCACTACCCGCGATTTCTGGCATACGAAGGGTTGTTCTACAGGTCCAACCATGGTTCTAGAGGTACAATCATCCTTATGTGACAAGCGTCAGTCTACTGGAGGTAACTAACGCCAGTCGGTCATACCATCACCTTTGTGGGTTCAAGAGATCAAAGCTGGATTGATGTCACTATGGCTACTCCTGTCATTTCGAGAAGGATTACTGACTGGTCCATAAGGTCGGATACGAGCTCCGACCACGGCGAACAGCACTGTGGCGAGAAAAGGCTGCGGTTCAGCACAGAAATAGGAGATTGGACCCGCTTCACCAGTTCACTAGAGTCCGATTTGGCGGACCAGACTGGCTGGAGGCGATGAACCCCACCACTCATGTTGGCTGTGATCTGGACTTACACGTGGAGGACCTGACAATGGTCATAAGTTCTGCAGCGGGTGACTCGCTGAAACCAAGAATCATGAGGAGACGGTGTGTCCCATGGTGGAATGCTTAGTCAACAGAGCTCAAAACGGAGTACAAGAGGGCCAGACGGAGATACCAAATGTGCGGGGTCGAAGACAGGAAGGAGACACTCCGGGAGGAATGCAGGGGCATTCAGAACAGATACAAGCCCGGAGTGCGACGCCAGAAAAGGATGTCCTGGTACGAATTCATTAGAACGGAAACTGAGAAGAATCCCATGGGAATTCCGTACAGGGTGGCAATGGATAAGCTTAAACCAGCCCAAGTGATGGCAGCGATATGGTCGGAAGGAGGACCAACAGCTCCCTGTAGGAAATGGTTATAAAATACCTAGATCAGACGTACCCCAGGGATGACCCGTCCCAGAATAACGAGGGAGATAAGGCCCTGCGACAGGCAACAGAATATCCGCCTGGTATCGAGTTCATTCCACCATGGGACGAATGGGACCTGTGGATGGCAATCGACTGGCGAAGGATAGGAAGAGCTCCAGGACTCGACGCCATTGACGCGGCTGCCCTAAAGAGGAGTTTCCCCTATATAGAAGAGATGCTGGAAATAATGAACGCTTGTTTGGACAGGGGCACTTCCCAATACAATGTAAGATTGCCGACTTCATACTGCTGTATAAGGGGGGAGGCAAGGACAAGGAGTTATCAAAGTCATATAGACTGATATGTCTCCTCCCTGTTTTGAATAAAGTCCTGGAGCACCTCATAGTGAAGAGACTGTCGCCAGTCTTGCGGGCAGCGAGTCACCCGAGGCAGTACGGATTTACGAAAGGGTTCGGCACCGGAGGTGTCCTAATGGAACTGTGCAGGGACGTGGATGACAGGACGGAGAGATATGCCATGATGGTTCTGTTAGACATATCTTCCGCCTTTGATAGTGGATGGTGGCCCTGCGTATTCCAGCGCCTCCAGCAGTTTGATACTCCTAGCAACCATATCTATACTCCCTCATTAGGGGATACCTCAGCAACAGGAAAGTCAAGATAAGGGCTACCTTTTATGAAGTAGATCAAGAAATTGAAAGAGGATGCCCACAGGGTTCAGTTCTGAAACCGACCCTCTGGAAGTTGGTGTTCGACCAATTGCTGGGGGAAGTGGAGGTAGCGGGCTTCGGTACTGTAGCATATGTGGATGACCAGGCCATCGTTGTGGCAGCGAACAGCAGGGCGAGATTGGTGGCTTCTGCCACTGGAGAGAAGTGCGCCACCATAGTCGAAGGATGGTGTAGAAAGAAGAGAATGAAGATGGAGGTGGCAAAGACTCAGGCCATATTGTTGAAAGGCTCCACAGATAGGGCTCACCCTATCAGTCTCAGAGTCAGAGGAGAGAGAGTCTGCCTGAGTGAGGAGATTACCTACCTAGGCGGTGAGGTTTAAGAAGAAGTTCAACGTCTCGCCCTAGATTGAACGCCTGCGGAATAGAGTGATCCTGTCACTGAATGGCCTGACAAGGACAGGGGGTGCTTTTTGGGACCTCAGGTACCTAGCCACGAGCGTCATATACAAAGGGGTCGTGCTGTGTATACTGAGGTACGCAACCCCAGCGTAGAGCTGCCGCCTGAATAAGATCCAGAAGAGGAAGATGGCCACCATCTAGAGACTCGTTCTGCTGAGGACAACAAAATCCTGTGAGACGGTCTCCCACGAAGAGGTGCAGGTGCTGGCCGGAGCGACGCCCCTGGAACTAATCCTCAAGGAGGACACGATAAAGTTCCACTTTGAGAGACAGGGTATCGGAGGGGCTCCGTGAGAGAATCGGTGAGTATCCAAACCATTGGAAAAGGATTATCAGGGAGGAGTACATAAAAGAGTGGAACAGACGGTGGATGACAAGCCCGAAAGGGTCTACCGTCCGAAAGTTCTTTCCCACCGTCCAGGCAAGATTAAATGCGACATGGGTCCTCACTGATTACTGGATCTCACAGGCTTCCATGAAAAACTTGCTGCTCATGGAAAGAATAGCGAACACCGGTGCCCTTCCTGCTGAGTCTCTGAAACATCAGAACATATACTGGTATCCTGCTCCGAAGAGACGCCGTTCAAAATTGGTGAGAGAGGTGAGCAGGTATGCCCTTACAGAGAAGGATTTTCCCCGCCTGGTGGAGAAAGAAAATTACCAGTTTTTTTTTCCGGAGTTTATGTATGGGTGGAGAGATGCGATGGGCCCTGCACATTTCTCCCTGGGAGTGGCCAGAAGTGGAAGCACATTAAGGAATGACTGGACAGATGCGGTGCGGACCCATCATAAAAGTGAACAACCGTGTACCGGGCCGCACCTCAGTTAACCCAGTTTATGGTTCCTAAAATTACAACTACCCAAAATTATTGTTAAAAAAGTAAATAATAATGATTAATAAAGTGTTGTTTATTGGCAGCAGTGGGCATACGAGAACCCTAACGTATTAACCGAATACTGCCAAAACCCCGTATGGCAGCAATGCCAGGTAGGAGAAAATAAAAAAGTCGGTCATAGGAGTGATGAACCTAATCCGTGTACCTTAATTAGGATTCGCGATGGTTTTGAAGTACATCAGTGGCCATCTGGTTTATGGACACTCTGTTTCGATAAAACCAAACACGTTCAGAAAATCATTGTTTTGATCTCCTCAAAGTTTCTCTCCGTTTTTCCAGGAGAGGGAGTATGTACTGACTGGCAAAACAAATGACCATGGAAACAGTTGTATATTTTATAATTGTTATTATATAATTTAAATTGTTGTATATTTTATAATAAACAGTAGTGTATTATAATAATTGTATATATTTTATAAATACATTTGATTTCAAATACATCTGTTCCGTTTATCTTTTCTCATTTCAGATAAAATGAGTAAATTTACTCTGTTTTCAATAACAAATTTTTTTTTAATTAACAATTTGTGAGTAATCCATTTAATACACGATTTCCAAGGCTCAAAAATCCTTATATCAAATAAAATCAAAGTAAAATCCTATTGGTTTCGTGATACATTTTCGAACCTGATAGAAATCTCTCTGATTAAAATATACATACAGGGTTAATAAACACATGTTTGTATAATTATTAATTATTTTTTATGCTTATTTATTACTGAAATTTCCAATAAACAGGAATTATTACGTTTATAATCCCAAAAGTAATAATTACGCTTTTGTTACTTTTTTGACTCAAGAATACCTAATTTATATTCTGTATCTCTGAAGAAAAATTTGGTTTGAAGTAGTAGGTTTTATACCTCTTATAATCGATGTAGAACCTTGACGTTCCTGTCAACTAACATCATAGTGCTCAACCAGTATACACTGGTTGGTTATTTTTTAGTATTTTTTTTTTTTTTTTGTGCAGGACATGAAATAAAATTTAAATTATTTTTAAAATGTTTGTTAGTTCGGCTGTTAGATTGTTGACGTCATCTTCATTTATTCCAGTGAAAAGTGTTTGTGAATTAGATTTATTGAGGACCAATGTTGTCAGGACCTTTCATTTGAGCTCCTACCAATTTGGTATTTATGACATAGACAAGAAAAATGTAGAAAAACTTGCTGATGAATCTGGAAAGTCTCCTCCTTTAGATAAAGATAAAGCTAGGGCTTTAATACTGAAATTAAATGAAGAAGAGAGGGACTTGATTTCATCTGCTTTGAAGGAATATGAAGCAAATAAAAGAAAAGAAGAATACGCAGGTTTATAGACTATTTTACTTTACAGAGTTTCTGTATTATGCTTAATTTATAGCTACGTAAAGTTTAATATTTTTGCTTTGCAGTAAATTGGTCATTTTGACAAGTTGGACCGATCTCTTATCTTACATGTCCTTGATTTTATTATTTGTTTAAAGGTCTATTGAAAGATAAATTTAATTAAATTAGCCTAGTATTTATTTTATACTTATAAAACTTGTTAAATAAATTATAACTTACAATTCACTTCAGAATATGCATTATTGGTTCTACTAGTCTGGTTAATTGTCTAATATAATTCTCCTACCGATAATGCTTTGAAACTATTTGGGTTGAAACTGGAAACCTAGCATTTATTTTAAGCATCATGGTGCATTCGTAAATCAAACGGGATTGAAATTTTAAAGAATGAATATCATTTAAGTATTAACATTTAGCATGACATTATTATTTTTTGGATTTAGGACTCATCCTCTTGTGTTTAAACTAAGGCAGGAAGATTGGTGTTACCAATTTTTTTTTCATTCATTATGGCCTTATCATAATTCATACATTTTAATTTTTTTTTTTTTTTTGCTTCAGTTAAGTTAGACTTTTACCTTGAACACGCTATAGTGATGCTATAAAATGTATTTCTCCACCTGAGTATAATTTAACTATGAATTTAAATTTGTATACTAAAATTTTTTTTTTTGTATTGAAAAATATTACAATCTGTCTCAAGGACATTTATAATAGTGTTCACAAATCACATTCACACTCTTTGTACAGTAAATAAAATAAATTGTACAGAAAAATAATACATATACAATAAATAAGAATAAAATAACCTAAAAATAAATGAAATAAAAATAACACATACATACCTATATACAATATTGTTATATACAATATAACTCCGAAACTTTTAATTCATCACCCTTATAGGTAGATAGAAACGTTTATTTTTTCCTATGTGATTCATCTATAACGAACTTGAACGGACTATGTAAAACTAATTGTCATAAATGCATATTGGCTATGATGACCAGGGTTTCCACTTAAGTGAACAGTTCCCTTTTTATGGAAATCTCATGGTTCGGAAGAAAAAAAAATGGAAACAATATTTATCAATCAAAGCCTAATGTGACACAGTTTAATTTATTATTTTTAATAATATAAAAAAACAGATATAAAACAAATATTTATGTACAATATTATGTATTATGTTGTATATAATAATAATACTTAATTTATTCTGGGACGAGTCCCTTTAGAATAATACAGAAAGACAGAAATGTGGGCTAAGGAGCCTCAGAGATATATAAACAAAAATAAAGTAATTAAATAGTCTTAGTAAAATAATTAAAAATATTATAAGTCACTTTCTAATTTTGATCAGTTAATAATAAACAATTAAATAAAAAACATGAAGTAAAAATGATGAAGAAAGAACTAATAATTTGTATACATATTTACTCTGCTATCTATTTACAATTTTATGGGGACTGGATGGATAAGAAATGATTGAACAGGCGGGATTTAAAGGCAGGAAGGACATTGGATTAACGGATGTGGGAAGGGATGGAGTTCCATAGGGATGAGGATCGGATAATGAACGATCTGTCAAATGCAGCGGTTCGGTGAGCCCTTATGAATAATTCAGAAGACTGGAAACGAGTATTATGGGAACAAACAAAGGATTTGAATTGAAGGGGCTCGGAGATGTATAAAGAACAAGGGATTGGATGACTTGAAAGAGGAAGGATTCCAGGAAATACTTACGACAATAGGAAGGGTAAAGCCACTTCAACTCATCATGAAAACGGTAAACAGAGGCGCTCATGGAATCCCGAAGATGCATCGTACAAAGCAATTTATCAAATGTTATAGTTTCGCCTCGATATTCCCAGAGACGCCCCCATATACCGTACTGCAATAGTCAAAGTGGGGAAAAATTGAGGAAATGACTAGGGGTCTACAGATTTTAAAGGGAAATAGGTGATGGGAATAATTTAGTCATTTTAGGGTAGAAATGGTACGGCAGAAAATATTGGATACATGGTTTTTCCAGGAAAGCGTTTGATCAAAGGTTATTCCAAGGATTTTGATGGTGGTGTAAAATTTTTTTGATTTTATATGTTTGGACTGCATTCAGTGAATACTATATGCATTCAAAAAGCCATTGATTTCTAAGTTCCTTCTTAGAAGAAAAAAATAGAAAATCTGACTGACCAAAAGGGAAATTAAAAGAAATGTGGTGGAAATCATGAATACGACCAATGTTGCTATAACCAATCTCAGACATCTGTAGTGGCTGGATAAAAAAAAAAACAATTTTTTTAATTTTCCATATTCATTCAATTATTGTTGGTGTGAATCTGTTTGGATTAAAAAACATTTTAAAAAATTATTGTCTGATTAAAACTTAAGGTATTTTTTTATGCTCTCTTTATCGGTGCACTTTTCTTTGTTTTTCATGTTATTCAGAAGATCTTAAGTGATGTTGCACTGGTTGTAAAGGCACAACCAATTTTGGTGCGTTCTTCATCATTGTTTGGTGATTTTTGATAATTGATGAAGAGATTAAGTCTGATGTGAAGTTTAGTTCCATTTTCCGCTCGACGTTTCCGATTACTTCAGCACTTACTAGACAAATGCTCTAAACTTCCCATTAATTACAAAAGACTCATATACTTGACTATAATAAGACCTATTTGGACTTACAGAGTTGAGCTACTAAACCATCGAATTCCTCTGGCATCCAATCCTTACAATCCAAAATCCTTCGTAAAATCCTCAATGCTCCTTACTTTGTTACAAATAAAGCCATCCATAATGACCTTAATGTTTCTTTTGTTTCAGATCTGGCCCAATCCAGATACATATCCTTCCATAATAAACTTCAGAATCATCCCAACCCTCTCATTTTTAACCTTGCTTCCTCTTCAATTCCTGATAACCCTCAGAGGCGTCTGAAAAGAAGATGGCCCCGTGATCTCCTAATGTAGTCATATCATTAGAGTGCTACCATTGGGTAGTTACTCAGCAAGTGTATTCATGTCATTATATCTATTATGTTCAAATTTACTAGATGTATTTATGTAATACAGTTGTAAATGTCATTAAGAAATAAAAAAAAAAAAAAGTTTTATTTTATTAATCAGTAATGTCATTTGTGATGAGTCCTGATGAAGCAATTTTTCAATTGTAATTAAAACATTCTCTATCATTATGCTCAGAAATTTCATTATCAGCTGCTTTCTATAATGGTTTTATAGAATTGAATAATGTCCTGGTCCATTGCTTGTAAGACATTCAGGGATAAAAATTTAATGAACTTCAAATTATACATAAATATGTTTATTCAGAACGGGAATAGTATAATTGATTCCTGTAAAAGAGATGTTTGTAAAAATATTTTAGGAAAACTGGATACTAAATCGACACAATTTTGTTAAGAAATAGAGTTGTTATGTCCAATCAGACATTTTAATTGGTTGCTATATCCATTGAAAACTATGTTAAAATAGCTTTGAGAATCATTGGACCTGACATTTTCATTGTTAAAGCTGATACTATATTACCACTGATGTTATAAACTATATCCAAGGTATTATTTTAGAAATTATCTACCTAAACTATTTTTTTGCAATGAACTTCAGTTCTTCTCCGAAGATATTCGCCTAATTAATGTATCAACATAAACAATCTTATAAATAAAAAAATCACCATCCACACATATATTATTACAGTGAGGCTCGAAATCGGTTTTGTACAAAATATAAGCTCCTGCCATGCTCAAATACCATGAATGGGGTACCGTCGGATTCAGAATTTCACGGGGGGTTAGCGAATCGTATTCTCCGCTTTTGTTTTTCTTTCTAAAATAAATAAAATTGATACAAACATTTTGCTAGACTTCAATACAGGAATGGTGGTAGGCCTGTAGATCGATGCGGGACAAATTGGACCTTGAAGATTTTGATGCGTACGGATCCTGCGTTTTTAAGCCCAATATGCTGTGCGAATTTTTTTGCATGGGCCTACTAGTTTCAATATAAAAGTGTAAAATATAATAATAATATATGAGAGGGGAAAAAAAACTGAAAGATATTTCTTGGCCAGAAGTCTTAAAACTGACAACAATTTACCAAGATTGCAACTAAAGAATTGAAGGCACTCGCATTTTGGGAAGTATCAAATATCAAATTCAACCACCTGTCCTTCCTCTTTCGCTTTATTTTAACACAATTCACCTTTGCAAATATCCATCAGATGATCTGGTCTCAATTTTCTTTTTTTAATCTAATCTTTACTGAGGAATACGTATTGTAAATTTATGGAAATACCCCATTAAAATTTTACCCAAATAAAGTTAATTTCTTATTATGTTCAAATAAGTTACATATTTTATTAATTTGATATTTTATAATTTTAGAACAGCTAGCAGCATTAAAATGGAGGTCGAAGTTTGGTCGCCCCACGAAGGTACCTACGTTAGGAGATGTGGATCCAACAGGTTCATATTGTCCTGTCCCTGAAGATTGGCTAATGAAGAAATATGGTGAGATCTTTGTTTATTTATTTTTTGAATATTGATTCTACTATTCCTAGGTTCATAACGTTTGCAAAAATGTAACTCTATCTTATAATTGCCAAATCCAAATGTTTGGGGACAGAAAATGTTCTAAAAATTAAATTTTTATCATATTGAGCTTTTGTTTTATTTTTTAATAATATGTATTAGTATATGTTATACTATCATTAATTGATGTGCATTAAAGTTTTGGATTTAAATATTTTCACACTTTTCTTTATATTATGCTCTGTTTGATTTTTAATTATTTTTCTGTTTTGAAGATTTCTGTTTCTACCTCATATACTTTGAATGCTGTGATATATTTGTAATTTTAATTCTAAGGATTTGATGTTACATATTCTAACTACATAAAGTATGCTTAAATTGTTTGAAACCTATTTATAAAAGAATTTCTTTCTTATTGTTCATGCTTACACATATAGAACAAAATCGTAAGTATAAGTATTCAGACTTTTTCCTATACCTTGATCTTATTGTACAATTTTCAATTTTTTTTTATTATGATCTTAAAAAAAAAAAAAGCAAACTTGATTAGATGCCGCTGTTTATGAAACTTTTTTTTAGTAGTACTTGTTATAAAAATGTTTCACTTTTGTTTCGTTTTTACTGTTTTAACGGAATGGATAGTTAAAAGAAATAAATATTTGTGATAACAATCATATAAGATAAAATTTTCACTTATAATGTACAAAATTATATTTAAATTGTCATTTTTCTTTACTGTATGTTGTTCCTAACTTCAGTTAATCTTAATTTTTTTTTTTCTTTAGCTGAAACAGTACCGAAACCAACAACACGTCAACTCGGCCGAGGTATATTAAATTTTTGTGATACATATTTATATAATAGTTATGTTCCATTTATTTTTTTCTAATTCTATCTTATTTTGCTTTTTACAGTATTTGTTCACAATGCCATCCCATTTGTTGGATTTGGTTTTCTTGATAATTCAATTATGATTTTATGCGTAAGTTTACAGAACTAAAAGTTTTATTTATCGAGTTTATATATTAGATGTATTTTGAAAAATATTTAAAATGTTAGGTTTATATAATTGAAATGAGTAGATAATAAAGGCAATATCTCCAATGGTTATGTGATAGTGAAAGGATATAACGGTCAAAGCCTTGCTTGTTAATTGTAATGTTTAAAAAATTGACAAAATATTAACCATATGGAGGTAACAGGCAAATTTGAACAGTCAAATTTGAAAGAAAAATTAATCAATGTTTTTAAATGCTTTTATGGTTTCATCAAATGACATGGAGCAGAATTATAATCATTATTCTGTTTCAAAATTTTTTAAGTAAGTTTTTCTGGTAAATCATAAAAAAACAAAAGAAAAAAAAACAGCCCAATTTAATTTTAATTATAATCATAGGTTTCACAAATTAAATCAACAAATTATTGGATTTTTAAGTATGAATATAATTCTGTTCCAAAAATTCATTTTGTTTACTATAATGACTGATTTTTAAACCTTTTACAAATTTTTTAACTATCTATAACTTTCACTATTTTTATTTTCACCATTAAGAACTATTATAGTGGATTGATGGTGGACTGAAGTGAATAATTAAAGACAAGAATGGTTGGGGTGATCAGTAAAAAAAAAATTTAGTAAAAATAAATGTAATTATTTATTTTTACTAAATTTTTTTTTACTGATCGCCCCAGCCATTCTTCTCTTTTATTACAGTATTAAATTTAACAAATTATTAGTTGAAATTAAATGTTACACTTGTACACTCACTACAATACCTATTATCTGCCCTCATAAGTTACAAAAACCCTATCAACAACTTTTTTCTTAATACTTTTTGAAGTTAGTTAAAATTACCATGCAATTCATCGTAATTATAAGTAAATCTTTTGATAGGGTGACTACATAGAGATGAAGGTGGGGACGATGATAACAATATCTACGATGGCAGCTGCAGCTCTTGGTAACTGCTTCTCAGACGTCTTGGGGCTTGGGTCAGCGTATTACGTGGAGCGCCTTGCACTCGCCTTAGGATTTAAGGCTCCGAATCTTACTCCTATCCAACTGAATATGAACAGTACAAGGAGAGCCGCAAACCTTGTTCGTTTCATTTGATAATATGTGATAATACTATGATGTTTATAATATATAGCTTAATATATGATAATAATACCATAGAGAGTGAATCAAATATAGACTGTAATTCTTTTTTATAAATTCATTGATTAATGTCATAATGGTACGGAGATAGTTGGCCATGATTATATTATGAGAAGGAGTTGATCGGGGGGAGGGAGGGATGCGGTCAAATATGTTATAACAGGATTTTATTGGTTACGCCAAAGTTTCGACCCACTTTCTATGTCTTCTTCAGGTCTACAAAAGATACAAAATAAACTGTTACAAAGTAAAGAATTAAAATAAATGAATTATTAAGTTGTAACAGCACTGATCGACATGGTATAAAACCTCTTTGGCTTGACTACACAGTCAGTTAGCCTTCCCCAGTGTTGTTCACCTTGTATGCAAATAGGTTTAAAAAACGTATTTTTACACAACGAAAATACAAGAATAGTCAGTGAAAGTTACTGACTGATAAATCAGAAGTCATAGTGGCGGTATGATTAGTCAAATATAATTATCACAGACCTTTTAAACTCTTATTCATTTATTTTTTTTTGTTATTTATTGTTCAAGAACTGTGTTTCCTTTTATTTTTTCCAATCAAAAGATCTTTATTATTTATTTATTTTATGAACAATATGGTTTTTATTTTAGTACAGCTTGTTTATTTTTATTAATATCCTTTTAATATTATTTCAACTATATAGTTTACACTACAAGGTAGATATTAAACAAATACCAGTTTTCTGATAAAGAACTTATAAGATGAGATCAGTGATGTAGTGGGTTATAGTTTATATTTTAACTATACTGTAACCCACTACCCACTACCTCACAGAAAATTAGTTGTACAATATCGAAGGGTCCGGTACATGTCATATGCCCGGGAGCCCTTTTCTTGTGATATATAAAAATAAATGTTCTGTGGAGGAATACTTGTGAATAAATAAAATGATTACGTACAGTTTGATGAGGGGGCCGCTCTCGCGCCTTCTCTCTCTCTATCCGCCGTTTGTCCAGAGTCCTGGAGCTAGTGTAGCCGAAGGGCTGTAACTCTTGAAGTCGGCTGAGTAAGTAGGTTGTAAGCCGTCTGGTTCTTCACTTTGTCCGCTAGCATCTGTGCATGTCAACATCGGAGTCTTGAGTTTTGTTTGGGGTATGCTAGCCACCCGATTAAGTTTGATGAGGGAGCCGGTCTTGCGCCTTCTCTCTCTCTATTCCCGCTTGTCCAGGGCCCTCCGTGTTGTTAACATTCATTTTCTTTATCTATTAACCCACAGTTATCAAATGTAATCTCTATTAGTTTGTTATACACTTATTTCTTATCTTATATCGCAATCTGTTTACTTTTAATTTACATGCTATATTCTCCTTTATTTTTTATTTTTATTCATACTTATTTTCCATTTCTTTGTATCTTCCACAAATATAATACTTGATATTTTACTACATTGCCACCCACTATATCTCTGATATCATCTTTTTATTTCTGTATCTGACAACTTCTTCTTATTTTATATCTACTTATATTCATTTTTTTATTTTCACCATGTTTTGTATCTTTTGTAGCCCTGAAGACGACCTGGAAAGTGGATCGAAACGTCGGCAAAAATTAAATTATTACTATATTTTAATTTAGTATTTATTTGACCGCAGCCCCCGATTAACTCCTTCTCATACCTGTTTTTTTGTTAGAAGATTTTTTATATCAGAATATTTTTACAATATGTATGTCTTAATATCTTCTTTCTTGTGATATTTTTCTCTTTTTTTTGTTTAAAAAAAAAAATGGTACCTACACCCTTACCAATATTCTACAATATGCCTACCCTCACCCGTGTAGAAATAGATTGGGACTTAAGTATTAAATATTATTATTTTAGTATTATATATTATTTATTTTTTCCAATTTTATGATTTTATTTTCTGTTTTTGTATTACAGGGGAGAGCTGTTGGCGTAACAATTGGATGTATCCTAGGAATGGCACCGCTCCTTATTCTCTGAATTTATTGCCTTGTCCAACTTTTCGTTTTTTTAACAAAACTGTGTTAATTTATTACCATTACTATTTCTCCTGTTTGAAACCAAAATAACTTTCTTCTTCTTCTTTACCAAAAACTAAAAATCTAATCTAGTCATAAGATAAATAATTGCTAAGCAGTAGGAGGCAGGGTGTAGGAGACTTCCAAGATGGTAGATGATAAAAATACGCTTCTAATGACCAATACTTTTAGATATGTGTTCAATAATACATATAACTGAAATGTTTGCTTTAGCTATTCTTTACTAACATTATAGCCATAATGTTTTGATTTTGTTTTTAATTTTTCTTTTAAATTTTTAATTCGGGAAAGTTTTATTATGTAAATTTTTATAAAAATGTTTGATGATTGTTTCATAATAACTCACTTTTATATTTCAAACGTTTTGACTGTTATTGTTTTGTAAAATATATGTTATATCTGTTAAATTACGTCACTTGAGATATTAATCATGTAATTCTATTAATGAATTGACATTGAACCTTTATATTAATTTGTCTTGTTACTTAACTCTTTATGTATCTTGTTACATTTGACTTGCTAAACTATTTATAAAAGTTGACCAATTTGTCCAGCCAAAGGAAATTACATGTATTATATGTATATATTACATATGTATTTATATTGGTTCCTTGTTCCATCATGGTAGTAATTAATGAGATTTGTTTAAATTTTACTATTAACTTTTTATTTATTTTTTGTTTCTGTCACTAAGAAAATATTTTATTTTTCTTGCTAAGAATGATTGTTATATTTTTTAGAATATTTAATAATTAAACTTCATGAGAATGTTTAATTGATAATTGTTTTGTTTTAATTTGCTATAAATGTTTCTATATTTATTATGTGTTTATATGTATGTTATTTCTATTATTACAATCATAAATTCTTCTATTGAAATAATTAAACTCATTGAATTAAAGGGAAAAATCTTGTAGAAATATTCAAGTCTATCATTAACGTTTTATTAAAAAATTTAGCTGTTGTAGAAATACTATGATACAACAATTTTCTGTTCAAGTACTGTTTTATTCCTGGGGCCATGGCATATATGAAACAAGAGGCTTTTATAGGTCCTTGACTGTTTTACATTTTAAGACCTAACATGTCACAAGTTTGTCAATATAAATGTAACGATTAATAAAGAAATTCTCCACGATCGTTTTTGTGCGATCGCCATTTTATTGGAGTAAGATTAGCAGTTTGTCATAATTGTTTCACAGTTCTTCCCTTCTAAAATAAAAGAAGTGAAAATGTGAATTTTGGACAATTTTTTATGATTTGATGAACTACAAGTCAAAGTTTATAAATTATTAATCACTTTCAGAAGACTCAACTTCTGTATGATTGACCTATGTCAGACAAAATATTCTTTTCGGGAATATTGGATCGTTTTTGTCTGATACACGATACTTAAATTGTACTTCTTATTAAATACACTAAAGAATATTTTAATCGATTATTTCCAAAGTGAACCCTAGTCATTATTAATAAATTTTCAGGAAAAAAAATTATATTTTGCTATTCTAATTGTAATATCATAAGTAATATTTAAAAAAAAAAATGAATTTAGATATTGTTTATTTTAGCATATATTTCAGAAAATTATTGAAACTTCAATATGACCGTTTTTTGGAATAATAAAAAAGGTTGATTGGGATTCAGTACGGAGTAAAAAATGGTATACAATAAAGAGGGAGGGATGAGAAATGTGTTAAAATTACATACTTATTATTTACAATAACAGTACGTTAAAATAAATTTATTTTTAATTTTTATTTAAATAATGTTAAAAAGATTTAGATAAATTCTTATTTTCATACTACTTTTTTAAAAATAATTATATTTGTTTTTATTAAAATAAGAAATAATTGCTACGTTAGATTCATTGAATGTGATACATTGGAATTGATACTTTTCACGATTTGTGAAAAATTACTTAGGTTCACTTTGGTAATGAGTGAGCTATACGTCTGACATGTTGTGTTGTACCTACATACTGTAAGCAAACGGCCGAGGCAAAAATAAAATCTTGATTAATCACTTTGCTAGGCAACAACATTACTATACAGTTTTAAATGAATCTTAAAACTGCTGAAATATTTTTTTTAATAATTTGTTCACCATGGCCCCAGAAATCATTTATTTTTTTATTGAATCGATACTTAAATGGATATAGGTTAAAATTTAGATTGGGATGGAACCATTGATATTTTTATATGACTGAAACATATCTGTTTCTATCTACTTATTAGTTAGCTTATGGATATTATGGACTCATTAACTAACATAAACAAATTTGTCTATTTTTCTCCCTTCTAATTATTCCACTGTTAAGTGCACGTAATTACTTGTTGAAAAATTCTTCATGGTGCTACTAAACTTATTGTTTCTACTATTGTTAATCATTCTCTAAATGATTAATCACAATTTGCTACCTCAAGGTTGTTAAGATAACCGTGCCATATTTTTATGAAACTTTAAATTTGAACTACTATTGTAATTTTATTATTATACCTTTATATCTGGTAATTGCAGATTTTACTTAAATGTTTTGTGCTAAATGAACTATAAATATGTATTAATGATGTATTTCTGTAGTTTTTATTTGCCAAAGATTTTTAAACCTATTTCTGGCTAATTTACCCTACCTCACAACACAAAATTTAACTGTTTCTTTTAGTTAAAATGGCATGTACTAGATACTTTAAAATAAATAAATTGTAACAAAAATTATGAAAATATTATCTTGATAAGGATAGAAGAGAGAGCTGCTGGAATATATATTATATAATAAATGTAATGGTATAAAAGAGAGAAATACAATACAATTGTAATGCTGTACAATTGTGTTGAGTAGCTAATTGACTCAGCATACACATCAGTCTTATTGATAATGAAAACAAAACAAAAGGATTAAGTTTTTGGGTTTATCATCCTAAATACCACAAGTTTTTTTCTCCCTTTTCTTTCTGTCTCAAAAATACACAAAGCAATGCTGAGAGTTAATATATGGGGTGATGCATGATTCCTAGCGACTCCAAAATAATAGATTGACCATACTCTGTGTCTGATTCTTTTCTACTCCCAGCTTTTCCAAAAAAATACAAGTTGAATAGTTCCCCTACTTTCGAACCGAAAACTCACCAAATTCCTCTCTATATTTTTCCTGTAGGTATGGAATGAATTTTTTTTTTCCTTCTTTTTTTTATTTTGCGGTCTTTGATCCATATTATTTGTTTTGAATCTTGTTGTCGGTTCTAACATCAGAGTCTCCTTTTCTTTTCCACTAGCATAGGAATCCTTGCGTCTAATATATCCACGAATCTAGCTGAACCGGTATCAAGACAATAAACATCTCTACTTTTTATTCTTCAGAAATTCAGCCATTGCGATGCTTTGACTGTGGGCGGGATACATACCGTCCTGTTAAAGAGTTGGGTTACTGGTGCGGCCAGGATATATGCTTTCCAATCGGAGCGGTTGCCACTTAATTATGTAGGAGCAAGTCTCACCTTCACCATTTGACTTGTGGGTTGGTCGGTGCATTCATTAGTCCGCACTACTGGACGCTACAGACCGATGTGGTCCTTGGCCACCGCTCGCCTTACCTAATCCTCATGTCGCTTTACTTAGTTGGGTAAAAACACAAAGAACAAGAAAGAATGTTTTTTCTTTTTTGAAATACATTTATTACACTTAGAACATGTTAATACCAATATTTTTATTTTTCCCCCTGAAAATAAATGATAAAACAATAGAATAAAATCTAAGATTAAAAACAAAATTAAAGATACATAATTCAATAAGTAAATTATTGTTTGTCTTTTAAATTTTTTTTTTTTTAAATATATAAATATAGTTTTATTAATATACAACATAACTTCATCTTAATTAAATACTTGGAAGAACTTAACCCTTAAGTAACAATTCTAATATGTTAATAATTATACATATTAGACTGCACATATTTTATACTAAAAAAATATGTATAAAAATATATTCTCTAACCGTACATAAGTAGAAACACTGGTAAGAGATGCAATTTTTTTTTTTTATAACTCCACAACTAGCCTTATTTGATTCACTTAATAACAGCCAATGAAAGCACATTTCTTTTTATCATAAATTTTTTTTCCCTCTAAGTTTCTATTGTTAACGAATTGATATCACATCAGAACAATGTTTTAAAAAACACAAGATCAAATAAGCATGAAACATATCAGAGCCAATAAAGTCACGAATCAGGATCACATTTAAAAAATAAATTATATCAACAACCATATTATCACTTTATCATTAAGTTTTTCAATTACAATAAATAAATAATTTTCAGCCATAATTTTACGATACTGAGCCCATTTTTGATTAATGTCAGGATGTTCTATATTCATTTGCCAGTCTATTTTAAATTCATTATTTAGGAATCAAATAAATTAATTTTCATTTAAAAAATCTTTGTTAAAAAGAAAATATAAATATTTAAAGTTGACTAAATAAAATATAATCAACATTGCATTTTTTAAGTAAATAATTTCCTGACAATGTAAAAAATGGGCTTGCGTTATTCTAGGCAACATCGATGTCTAACATTGTTATCTAGATCATTTTATTTTATTAATAATATTAAAAAAATATGCAGCAAAATATTCAGCAACGGCTACTTGTTGATGAGGTACATAGCCGGCTGTTTCCAATGGTGCTGGAAACCGAGCAGGTAGTACGGAGTCGAGACGAAAATGTTGTAATCAGAAGAATTTTTCTCGTTCATTAAGGGTTCATCAGTACTTGCCAATGGCGGAATATAAGGTAAGGTCAGTTCTTGAAGCCATCGAAAATCAGAGCAATGTTCAAAGGTACCTAAAAACAGACAACAAAGATTACATGTGTATATATATATATATATATATATATATATATTTAAGCATCTTGAAGTCCAGAGAGAAATACTTTAATGAAAATAATGTTGCCCTACAACATAGGGTTGCTTAATACATTTTATACACAGCAAACTTATCAACCCACAATGACATAACTATTACGTTACATTTATATTCTTTCATTATTATACATATACCTTTTTTTTTTTTTTTTTCACAACACTAATCCTATAAAGTATCAACAGTAAACCATATCATGCTATTAACATTGCATAACATATATATTCTAAATTAAAATGACAGTAAAAAAACTACATAAAATACTATTCATTGGCATTACAAATGAATTTTATTAGCAGGTAACAACTTTTTTTTTTTTTACTATCTTTTTGTATTAGTCATTTTTATTGTTATCTCGTCTTTAGGGAGTGAGGGTAGCTCAGTGGTAGGGCGCGGAACTTCCAATGATCAAGATCCTAGGTTTGAATCCTAGCCATTGCAGAAAAATTATTTATTTTCTTTTACCAGCTGAGGAGTAAAATACTAGGTAAAATGGCATGCATTAATTGAATAAGATCAAAACTACATCACCATATATATTCCTTCACTAGCGATATAAATGAAAACCATTAAGTTTAAGCCTAATGTTTTCACTTAAAATGTTTTAATAACAATTTAAGTTAAGATGTTTGATGTTACACAAGGATGGTGATCACTATCATCTGATGTGGTGAGCATTATAGAGAATCAAAACCTTAACAATTATAATGTACTTTAACTTATATGAGATATTAGTAAATCTTTTACTTCATTGAATAAATAATTGCTAGAGTTGAATTAAAATTGCTACCTACTGATCAGGGAAACTAACAACCAAACAATCCTTACTACCGTATAAACCCTCTCTGTTTCTCCCATACTTGTTAATAATAAACTAATCAGCATGTTAATAAAACTTGAAAGTTGAAGTTGTGTACAAGTTTTAATTTACCGATTATTTAGTTTCTAATCGAGTTATTTATAAATATCTAAAATTTTAAGTACAATTTAGTCTCTAGTTTCCTTGTGCTTAATTAGGTTATAATACCTCAATAACCTAAGTACTTTCTAATTGATAGTAATTTTATAATTTAAAAAAAAAAAATTGAAGAAAAGAATAGTTGGGGTGGTCAGTCAAAAAAGAAGGCAAAAATAAATGATAATATTTATTTTTACATATGCCGACGTTTCAACCTGAAGTCAGGCCTTCATCAGGTCTAAGAAAAGAACCAGATAACAAGGTATTGTTATCTGATTAACCTGATAACAATACCTTGTTATCTCATTATTTTCTTAGCCCTGATGAAGGCCTAAACTTCAGGTCGAAACGTCGGCATATGTAAAAATAAATATTATCATTTATTTTTGCCTTCTTTTTTTACTGACCACCCCAACTATTCTTCTTTTCATTATCCACGACAGTCAACTATTTACCAATTATAAAAAAAAAATTATTGATAAACCTAATATTTTTTCACTGTAGGATATGAATATGAGAACTATAAACTGTTGAAACATTGCCAAAATATAGCTGAAAATATATATTATCAGAATAGTTGAGAAAATAGAAAGAATATATATACTAAAGTTTTGTAAATCTAAAATGAATTTCAATATTCAGGTTGATAAATGATTAAGTAATCTTCAAATATATTTTAATTTCATTAAATATGCATTATTCTATAATCATCAAACTGAATCGTTGGTAAAAGCAATATAATATTATTGTTATTCCTTAATTATTTCAAACTAGTTGTGATTTTCATACCATTAGAGATCGCTTGAGGTTCATTGAGGCTAATCGGCGGTATGCTGCCCCTTTGCCAAACAGCTGAGTCGAGAGGAAGACTGGAAAGTTGAGCCGGTATGTAGACTAGATGAGTTACAACCATGGTAGAACCGATAACAGTCAACATCCCTGCGGTGTAGCTCGCCAGGCAAACAGCTGATATCTAGGTTTAAAATATAAGTATTAAACAACAATGCAAGCAATATAAATGTAATAATACGACAATTCTGACCAACATTTATATATAATAAGTACTTTTTAATTAAACATGTTTAAACGATTTTTTTTTTTTTATGAATTAACCTCTTCCATTTTTTATAAATTAAAATTTTTTATACTCCATTGTCAACATTTCAGGTTTTTAGTTTTCTATATTACTCCAACAGTAATATATGCTGTGTAATGATTGAAAACTTAATGAGCAGCATTATCCACAAAAAAATGTATTTTCAGTAATTTTCTTTTATAATCAGGCCTCTCTTTATCGGCTTTTACCATTAGAGATCTTGCAGGCTAGTAGCATTCCAATTTAGATGGCACATTATCTCTGATGTTCAATAAACACGGGCATGCATTTAAATGAGTTGCATCTACGTGTGTTCACAGATCGCATTATGGAGAGTCTGTCACTCCTATTCTATGCAGATGTTTTCTAAGGTAGTCATAGCCTGTTATCATCCGTAACTCTGCAATAGCTTCCTTTCTCAGTATGTTCAAAGGTACCCGTTCCGTTCTGCTTCATTTTGCAATTTTCTCCATTATTTTCTCAATAGTACTGCTCTTTATGGATTCCAGAAGTAAATCCTGATTTGTCTTGTTTACTTCTTTTCTGGCTCTGTGGAATGATATCTAATTTTCTGGTTGTGTTCCTATCTGTTGAGGTTCCCATGGCAAGTTAAACTGATATTTTATTGTCATCGAGACCACAGTGACTAGATATCCATTGAAAGAATACCTCTCTTCTTTGAAAAAGTAATTCCTCAATAATCTTTTGGTACTTCAGAATATCCTGAGCCTCTGCGCTATGATACGGTGATCAAATCCACCTGTGAATCCAGAGTAAGTATATTGTTTTTGGAATCTAAGTTTGACAAGGGATCCATTAGAATTGCCTTAATTTTGCTGCCAAAATTTGAGGCCCATTTCCCAACTGGTTTCAAAATAGCAAACATATGTGAATATAGGCCTAATTAAATTTTTAGAATATGACAAAATAAATATCAACTAACAAATGTACTATACAACTCTTCTTCATCAAATGAAAATTATCAATTAAATTTTTAAGTTACCTCAATAAATATCCAAATATCGAAAATCTCTATAATTATTTTTTGCTTAAAAAATTATTGTCCCTGAGACAGAGCCAAGAAAATGGTGAGGAAGTTGTGCCTGGCCTCACTTAGCAGACGTTTTCACTTAAGGAACATTTAGTTTTTATTAGAAAAAAATACTTTTCTGTTGTTGTCGCACCAGTAAAAAAAACTAATATTTTTTTAAAAATTATAATCAAAAACATACGGTGCAAAAAATTATTAATTAACAAGAAGACATTCATTGTAAAAATAATGAATATCTTTTATAATTGAGTTAAATGGGTCCGTCACTCTAATTTTTTGGCACCATACAAAATTGGCTGAATACGAATCTAGAAAATTTCAATTTAGCAGAGCCCCACATTCTTCTACTTTCTGAGTATTGGCAAAAGTGTCAGGGTACACAAAATTATATTTGTGATTTACACAAAGATGTTGGTATCCTTCATCTACCATTCTATTATATCCCTTCCAACTACCACTTATAATAATCGAACTGAGTTTTATTCGCTGAAAAATTATTGGTAGTAGAGTTGCCGCAAATCTGTTCTTAACAGTATGAAGGAAACATTCATTGCTTTGGCGACAAAGAGGAGCCAAATTTACAAATTTTGCTCTCCTCAGTAATGCCGTAATACTGATAAAATTTCACAGTAGAACTATCATACACTTCTCTAGACTATTTTTCAAATTCATCTTCATCATCGTTTGAAAAAATGCATGATTATATATTTTTTTTACATGTGATATTAATTTTTTTTAAGGCACAAATTATACTTAAAAAAAAAATTGTTTTTATACTGGTGGGGCAATAATAGAAATGTATCAAAAATGTAATAAAGGGTATTAGAACCAATGCTGACACTGAGGATAAAGTATACCGAGTAGACATTACAAACAAAATTCAGTAAGCCTATTTCAACAAAAAAGTTGCTGTAACACCCCAGTCATATATCTAGGATGTTAAACACTTATCTGGGATATATCTAATTTAGTATATGGAAAAGAGAAAGTGAAAATATTAATTACTCAGTTTATAAGAAAATTCTAAAATCTTATAGTGGGAGCTTTCATAAAAGAAAAATCTTTACTCACTGTTAAGACTGCTTGAGCTAGAAGGAATGCGTTGAGCTGATCAAGAAGTTTTTCCAATTCAGTGTACGAGAACCAACCTCTCTTCTTCCCTTCGCTCAGTGCAACCTTCGTCTCTAATGCATGAAGCTTTTTCCAAAAGTCGTCAACTTTCACAAATACCTTCCATTCCTGGGTCAGAAAATATAAATAAAGAATTTCGTATTTATATAGTTAAAACTATTATTTCAAAATGGTACTTAAATTAACAGAACATTTCACCATTTTTGTCGGAATATAGATAGATTTTTTTTTAACTTTGTTTAGCCCATGTGTATAAGATAAGGAATCGACTTTTAATAAGATTTAATATATAAAATTTTGAGTTTCTACTTTAGAGATTGGGGGTACAATATAAATGATGACTTGTTCACAAATAAACATACATTTTAGAAAGTGAATATGCAAACTAATAAAATTTGTTAGAAATGAGATCAAGAAAAATACACATATTCAAACTGCAAGTTAAGAACAATAATGAAAGTAACATAAAATAAAAACTGAAAAATAGCTGAAACAAATGATAAAAAAACGAATTAAAATTTGAAGAAATAACTTAAATACACAGGGTTAAGCAATAATATAAAAGTAGAAAGCCGGATCATATAGGCATGTGGAATCACTGACAGAAAGTGTTTAAGCAAATCTAACTGGAACTCAGGAACCAACCAAAGCCAAATTAACAAGTTAGATTTAATTTTTGTGCTTTATTTTCCTTTCGATATAAGCCACTCAACTGTTGGTTTAATGACATTTTTTTCAGTTTAATGACATCAACTACTATTTAGCCATTTTCTTCAAAAGTTCGAACACTAAATACTAAAATTTCAATTTAAGTGGCAATGTTCTAATTTCAAAGCTAATAAAAGTTTTAGTATGGTATTTATTATTTTTGTATTTTAAGCTGTTTTATTTCTTATTAAGATATGTTGGTAAATTACATATGAAAATCGATGTTTTATTTAATTTTTTATCTCAGATATTTTATCATCAACAATTATTTTGATAATGACAATCAACTTACCTTCGAGGGAATATGGTAAAACGTAAACTAAAAAAAAAAAAAAAAAAAAAAAAAAATGCATAAACTAACTATTGCATTCAGGAATTCTTTCTCAAGTCTATTTAGATCAGAAAGAGACAAATTAGCAGACGAGGCCCATTCACTGTTCAAAACATCATCATCTTCACCATTGTCATTTAAGAATTTCGATGCTACCATCTGTAACAGAAAATTATTAGTTATTACGGATATCTTGTCCTGATATTGTATACTTTTTTTTTTTTTTTTAAAGGGTGTTATTGATTTAACACAAGTTAACACATATATATTTTTTCTATCTTTATTATTTAACGACATTTCAGCTAAATAAAAAGATAATACTTACAAGAGAGATCAAAAACAATTCAGAAGGTGCTACTCTATCAACATAAACTGGATTAGTTGATTTGAGTTGCTCTAAATAAATGACCGCTAACACCAATGAACACGGAGATATGCATGCATTTCTGCTGATATCAGAAGCATCCTCAATCCGTAATCTTTCAAGACTTCGACCCATTTTTACTTCAGAATATAATTCAACAGCCAGTTCTGAAACATTCATTATTTTCAGAAATTAAACAAAAACAATTAATTATGTTACAAAATAACTTAATTTGGGATGAGGCTGTAACGGCTCGCCAGATTTCTCATGACGGTATTGTCAGATGCCTGGGAATGGGAGGGTGGAGAAAGGTTGTCACATATTTTGTGGCAGAATCAGAATAAGCAGATAAATAAATTTCTAACTTTTTATATTAGAAATGATTCATGAGCTTTAAGATTACACATCCTTCCAGTCCTAGATAAAGTATCAAATGACGTTAAACTCATATAAGCCAACAACAAAAACTTAAGTAAATTGGGTTCTATCATTAATGGCACTCTACCATCAAAAAACCTCTATTATATCATATGAATATCTTGGAAGAAGAGTGGCACAGCTCAAAACCTAACTAATAATTGATTGTTTTCTTTTTGAGAGAATTTGATTGTAAATATATAATATTATCACTATTATAAGAAAGAAAGCCTGCATAACTTGTAAAATTGTTAAACAATTTTTCATTTATCTTAATTTTTTAGTTGTACCTAGCCATATTCATGCTACTAATATATTTTGGTTGTCAGATGAAGTAATAGTCATTCAATAATATTGTTATGTGTAAAATGGTGCTTAAGGTCAAGTATAGATTAATGACTCACTATGTCAATTATATTTCTGTTATCAGACATACAAATATTATATCGTTCTTTATCATAAAAGGGTTCTTAACATTTTGGAGTCTAATTTGTTAATGTTCTCCTTTTATTCATACTCTTTCAGTATATGAAAAAATAATGGTGGCATAGTGCAATGAGTCAAAAGACAAAGCATTGCATACAGCATTAAAAACTTATTTACAATTTTCCATCTTGAAGAGACAACATGGTGACATAACATTTCACCATAACATCTTCATTGTATCTCAAAAACTGAAAATGAAAGGAATAATTTTATCCAATAATATTAATATAAAAATTGGGTTACTAGTTCATAAGTGCTTAGTTTGGTAGATGTGTGGACTAAGATTACTTCAATCACACTTATACCAATAATTCCAAGACACGAAATAACGGAAATCAAAAATAAAAAAAAAATATATACATATATTGAAAAATAAAATTCAATGTTATAATAATTAAAGATTTTTATCAATTCATATGGAGATGGATGACCATGAATATATTATGATGAGTTGGTCAGGGGTGTGGTCAAATTAAATTCTATATATTATAACAGTATTTTATTTTAATGTAACATTGTTGATATTAAACAAATACCACTTGTTTCATAAAGAAATTCAAGATCTTAAAAGATGATATCAGTAATGTTATGGGTTATATTATAGTAAAAATATAAGGTATATATAAAAATGCAAAAAATAAAAAAAAATTTGTAAAATCGATGAAGCCGATTTTAAGGAAAAAGTTGCTGCAACATCCCTGGCATATACCTGACTTAAGTATGTAATTTCAGTCTCGTGCAGTTTTTAATTTTTTAACTAGATTGTCCACACAGACCATTTTTTGAGACTTGGTTTAAGGGACCTCAAAACGTGCATTTCTATTGAAAACTCAGATTCGAAAACTTTCATGATCGCAATATTTTTCTTTACTATACATAACATTTTTAGTAAGTGAAAGTAATAAAGGTGAATTTATCATACAAGTTAAAATTTAAACAAAATGTGATAAAATAAGAATAAGATAACATAATATAACAAACTAGTAAAGGTTATATTTGATAACTGCAGGTTGACAGATAACAATAAATTTCCTTTTATTTTTTGTTTGTTTTTTCTGTATACATAATACTTTATATTCTTACTATATTATAACCCACTACATTACTGATGTCAGTCATCTAATAAGTTCTTAAATTTCTTATCAGACAACTGGTATTTGTTTAATATCTACTAGTAATTCATTTATTTTGTTTTTTACTTTGTACCAATTTACGTTTTGTAGCCTGGTGAAGACCTACAAAGCGGGTCGAAATGCTGACATAACCAATAAAATACTATTACAATATTTAGTATTTAATTTGACTGCACCCCTGATGAATTCCTTCCCGTTTTTATCTATTACTATTTTTTACTTCACAGCTGTATAATGTATATAAGCTCTATTAAGAACAAATAATGTAACCTCAATATAATTTTCAAGTTGGTTTACACTGTATAACCGAATATTGTTAAGGGTATACAACAGCATAAATTGTGGCGAAGGTATTTGTAACTAACTCAAGAGATCACAGGGATAGTATTACTAAAATTAGTTTAAATCCTTCAGTATTTTATACATCAGAGCTTAATTCTTCAATAATTGATGCCAAAATTATGTTATCATGGTATTGCATCTAAAGATACAGGTTCCATATTGTAGAACTAAGTTGAATTCAAACAAGATATAAACATCCATACAGACATATACATCCGAGAAATGTACTTCAGAAATCATTTTAAGGAGCTAGAACCACATTTTACATCTACGAACTCGTGCAAGAGTAAATAGGACAAAATTCGTTGATGGAACTACAAGACATAAGAAGTTTGTAAATAAAAAAACCTTGAACTAGGTAAAACTATAATCAGTAAACAAAAAAAATCCTACCTGATAGTGGTAAACTGAATCTTTCGGTGACAGGTAATTTGGAATAATATAATGTCTTGGTGATTCTTTGTAGAAACTCATCATGATCTCCCATGCTCTACAAGCATACAAATTTAGTGATCGTAAATAAATTCTAATAAACATATTAAGTAATGAATCCACTTACCCTAAATCTCATATGCTGATTTTCTCGCCGCTTCTTTCTTTGATGAGAATGAACAGACATATTTTCGTATAGATTTTAATATTCTTAAAAAGTTATTTATATTATTCCAATTAACGTAATTATGAAGGGTTTACAGTAAACTGTGAAATTTAGAGCATGGGCAGGTTAAACTTGCTAATTTCGCGGATAACAAGAGTAACAAAGAAGGTTATGTGTTTTGAGGTCATGTTGTGCAATATCAACAAAAATAACTAACTAACTAACATTGCTATTGTCAATTATTTTTAGATTACATCTAGTGGTCTATCGCTAAAAAAAACAAAAAAAAAATTAAATAAAAAAATATGGGAGACTTTGAACATTACTTATAGATGTTTATTTTTCATTTATTTTCTCCTCCCCCTCTGTAATTTAAAAATACGAAAATAGTTGCCGAAAAATGAAATAAACGAAAGTAATTGAATATTAATATATTTTTGTTGAAGCTGATAAGTATATTGTCAAATATATATCACTGTCTTTTATTCATTTTTATATTAAGAAATTAAAAAGAAATAATCTATTTGATTTTTTGTATTGAATATAACGTAAATAAATAATTTTATTAATAATTATAAATAGTTTCTGTTTATTTTTAAATTATCTAAACTCATTTTTCATCACATCGGATTTTTCATTTTATATCGATTAATTTAAAATTGATATTGGGCCCACACTGCAGGGCCTGTAGTGTAATCGATAGATCTATCGATTTGTATTTTGGAAGGGTTTGTGTATTGTAAGGTTATAATCACGTGTTGTATATGTTCCAGTGCATTCAATAGTGTGTATATGACTATACTACTGTTTTGTTCAAATAAATAAAAGTTACCATGTAATGGTATATCATTCAATTTTATTTGACTCTGCACCTAGTTAATACTCATTTTGACTGGAAGATTAATATGTTTTTAATTTGAACCATTCAATTATTGTTAAATTAATGGCTACTACAGTGCATAGTGTCAGATTTTATAATCTGCTTCCAGTTTCTGTGAAGTGTATGTCTTGTGATGAGGAAGCAAAGTTGCTTGCTGTGGCTAGGTTGGTGTGTTTAAGATGTGGTTTTTGCTTAGAAATCTTCTCAAATATTAATTGTGTTTCTTACATTCTACTTATATTACAGAGCCGATAATACTATTGAAGTGTGGAACATTACCCATACGCCACATATAGAGAGAACTATTTTAGGTGTATTCGATGTTGTGGAAGGACTTGATTGGTATAAGGGACGTCTGTTCAGTGTCGGTCATCAAGGATCTGTTATCGAATATGACTTGTTTAGGCAAACGCCGAAGGTACATTACTTAAAATAACATTTATAAAGGGATTTAAATTTCCTTATTAACTTTATCAATTTAATTATTAACTGTGTTGTAGTCTATGCACCCTGTCACGTCTGGCTGTTGTTGGTGTATATCTGTCAAATCTGAAAGAAGACAATTAGCAGTAAGTATAATTTATTGGTTTTTATTTTAAAATTGATTAGGTACCACTAAAAATGTTATTCCACCTTGTCTATTGGGACAAGATCTCATGTTTATGATATAGATAGGATTCCAAGAATAGCTGAAGATTGACGTGTTCACAGTATAATGATTCTTGACATTTTTGCAGTAGTACAGTAGTGATTATCGATCAGCGCTAGCATTTATGAAAACCACGCATGTACATGTATATAGTATTATCAGAGCCTATATGTTCCTCTTCTATGATAAATCATTTTATGCACATGTTACATTTGGAAGGGGAATGGTGTGGCTCAATGGTAAGTGCCCGATATTACAATGCTCAAAGTCCCAGGTTCAAATCCCGGCTCATAGCAGAAAAATTATTTATTCTTATTTTTCTTTTTTTATTAGGAAGCTTACATTTATAATTTTTTTATATTTAAGGCAATAATATAATTACATTTGTTATCTCTAACGTTTCAAAACAATTTTTCCATCATCAGAGCAATCTTTATCTTCACTTTCTTTTTTTGATGTGGCACCGTTTGTCAAAAATCAAATATTTGTCACATTTTTAAAAAATAATTTTTTGGTGTTACACATCTTTTCATTGATACACTAAACAACATCTGGCTATCTTTAGTTTTATTTCTGTTATAGCCATTTCTGTAGTCAGAAATAAAACTAAAGATAGCCAGATGTTGGTTAGTGTATCAATGAATATGAAAAGATGTGTAACACACAAAAAATATTTTTTTAAAATGTGACAAATATTTGATTTTTGACAAATGGTGCCACATCAAAAAAAAATAAAGTGAAGATAAAGATTGCTCTGATGATGGGAAAATTGTCCCGAAACGTTAGAGATAACAAATGTAATTAAAATAATTTGAAGAAAATTGGAAGTATTATTGCCCTAAATATGAAAAAATTATTTATTCTGTTTCATCAGCCATGGTGTGATTCTGAGATCAGGAAACCCTCCTAGGGCACACCCAGCCTCTATATAGTAGGTACCCGTAATTAAATAATTAATTAAAGGGGAAAATCTAGTGGTTGAGCATGATCTCGGTCAAATCTCCTCCTTGCACAACTGTTGACTAAGAAACAGTACTTACCCTAAATAGTACTGAACCCAAGACCCATTATGGGTTGTAGTGGTCTAGGTTACATCTTGAAGTCTATCCTCATCCAAAAGTCCCACATCACCATCCATTATTTCTGCTTTAGTTATTTATTAAATTCTTTCATAGATTATGTTTAACCATTTTTAATTATTGGTACAATTTCAAATGGTTAATTATTTAAATTGAGAAAAATTAAAGAAGAAATTTTGAAATTCGTCATTAAGCTCTGTCAGACTTATAAATCCTTGAAATTCATTGGAGTTGTTTTTGAAATAATGTAAAAATGATTAAATAAAGTGCCACTTGTGGTCTCAATTTTAATGAAAAATTTGCAGTAACATAAGTTTCAGTTTAGAAGACATAATTTCAGTTTTCTACGACTTTTCGTTTTTGAGCTAGTTTGTTCCCTCACACCCCCACACCATTTTGCAATACTTGATGATTTGGACTCAAGGACCTTGAAACATGTATTTTTGTCGATATTCGGATTTGAAAATTTACAGGATCGCAATACTTTCTCTTACATTATATTTCATATAGATTCATAGAGATAAGTGAATGTAACAAGTTTTATCAATCGCTTGAGGATGAAATATAAATTTTATTTTATTTGAAAACCAATACATGTCCTAAGAGAACTTGTGACTTATAGTTCCACATATTTAATAATAAAATCCATGTTAATTGTTAATTATTACTTATCTGTGAATTGAATATTGATGATCATTAACTATATATTATCATATTTTCAATTGAAAATAAAAAATATCAGCCTTATAAAAAAATATATATATATTGCTACTGTTAGGGCAAAAGGTTGTATCTAACAATTTTACACGTTTATTCTCTTTGTGCTAAAGATGACATTTTGTAGTCTGCAATTGCTATAAGTAGTCTGCTAAATAGGAAAATAACAGAGGTAAATAAAGTATGAAATTATACTTATAAATTACAAATTATTGAAGGAAGTTAATTGACTGTTCTACATATTACGGGTGATAAATATTCAGAAGTCATTTTAAAGTTTTTATTGGTGTCGACGTTTCAACCCAAACATGTAGGTCATCATCAGGGCGTGTTTTGAGCATTCGAGGTATTCGAGTACTTACCTACGTTTGGGTTGACACGTCAGGACCAATAAAGTAGCGATACGACAATATATTATTTTTAGAATTGAAGGTGTATTTTATATTTATTAATATAGACAGTATTGGCTGTTATTAGTACAATTGTTTCAGTAAAAAATATCATGTATTCATAATGAAATCATTGATTATATAAAATCATTTCGATGTACATTATACATTTGATACACATTGTGAGATTTTGCATCCATAAATATTATCATGAAAATAAAAGCTTTTAAGTTAGTAAAAATATTTTTCTTCTTAGGCAGGCACCGAAGCTGGTTATATAAATATTTTTAAAATTGAGGATGAAGAAATTGTTTATGAAAAAATTCTGGATAAGCAAGAAGGTAATATTATTGTTGGTTTAATTTTTTCCTATTACATTAAATATATTGAATAGTTTCACAAATTAAAACATTTTTTTTTTTGCAGGTAGAATTTTTTGTATCGCTTGGAATGCATCGGGAACTCATTTAGTTACAGGCTCCTTGGACACAGTCCGAATCTGGGATGTCGAATCGGGGCATGCTATTCATCGTATGACTACGGGTCGACTGCAGGCGAATCAGGAGACTAAAGTGTGGTCGTTGGCTGTAACTGATGATTTTACTATTATCAGTGGTGATTCTAGGTATTTTTATATTATTAGCTATCATATTGTATTTATTTAACGTGTCCGTTATTGTTTATTATGTTTGAAAGACACCGATATCAACCAACAGATTTAGAACTTTTAGAATGGCGCAAGCTGCATCATAGTTTTTACTTATATTTTCATGGCTTACCATTATGTATAATATATATATATTTTAATTTATCTTACACAACTTAATTTTTTATTCACTTCTGACAATTTATTTATTAGCAGATAACATGTATTTTGTTTTCCTCTTTTAATCAAATAATTTTTGAATATATTATTTTTGGTTTGCTGGAATCTTATCATTCCTCAGCCCTGAAACTTAAGCTAAAATGTCGGCACATAACACAATAATTTTTTTATTAGTGTTTCTCTCTTACTACAACTCCTAACCATATTATCTATAATCAATTATTTCTTCACCATCATAAAAAAGTATTGTTTATTTTCTTATTTAAGATAAATAAATATTTAACAATAAATTAAAAATGTAAATAAATAAATCTAAAGGTTAATAAAATCTTTGCCTTTGACTTCCTTTGGTAAAACATTGACAGTATGGATAATATGATTTGTATTTCATACGTTGCAAGATTTCATTGGACAAGTTGTATGTATAATATTTCTGTCGATGAAGTTTTGCATAACTTCTTCCTCCACATTTATACAAACTTGGCTCAGTAATTTTATAGAAAATATGCAAATTTGATGTAAAGTCTTATAGATGATAACATTGTACTATTAAATTGTTGGTATAGACTATTTAGTATATTTGCTTTTTTTTTTTTTTTTATATTATATGCATTAATATTTTATCACTATTCACATTTATATTTATTTTTGTTAATCACAGGGGTAAACTGTGCTTTTGGGACGGCCACACAGGGCTGGGTGTTTCAAGTTACCAGACTCACAAAGCTGATGTCCGAGCTATCTGTTTGGCTAAAGACCAGAACACAGTTTATTGCGCAGGTAAAATGACTGAGAAAATTTGGAATCAGATATTACTTCCGATTTACTTTATTGTGTCGCTACTATAAGCGCTAAAGGTCATATGTATAAATTTAGTTATTTTTCAGAAGAGCATACAAATTTATTATTTCTTTACGATTTATTAGTATAATTTCATATTTTATTTCCCTCTGCTATTTTACTACTTAAAGTAGTTGCAGATTACAATATGTCATCTTTAGTGCAAAGAGAATAAACATGTAAAATTGTTACATATGACCTTCTGCACTTAAGTTGCGATATGTGTTAATGCTTGTATGAAAGTTTTGTTTTGTGAGATAAATCTTACAAAAAATGTCATCCGGTTATTTTTTTTTAAATTCTCAAGTAACAGCTCTATTATTATCGATAAATCTACTTCTCTGGTGTTGTTTAAAGATAACTCAAAAACTCCAATTTTGAAATTTTTTTTGTTCTTATTATTACATACAAAACTACTATCTAATAATTGTCCTCACTTTATCTAAGCGTCTTTAATTGCAATATAAAATTTCAGTTTAATTTTAAAATGAATTGACAATGTAACAATTTGAATATATGAATGATTATTGAATATTAACAGGTGTCGATCCACTAATAGCAACCTACGAAAAAGTTAAGATTCGTGAAGGCGATATGAAAGGAAGATGGGTCAAATCGATTCAAAGGTTTATTCACGATCACGATGTCCATTCATTAGTTATATGTGATAACAAACTCTATTCAGCAGGTAAATACATTTTATTAAGCTATTTTTAATAGTCTACAGTAGGATCTAAACCTATTATATGCTAAACCTCATATTTACCATTAAAAAACTTTCTTTATTGAATATTAATACATTCTGCCACATTGAAGGGCATTAATATTAAGGCTACATGATTCATTCACACAATATGTACATACAATTAATATCAATAATAAAGAGAAAGAAATATGAAAAAAAATAAAGTAAGTAAATTGGTATGCCTGTACAAAAAAAAAAAAAATGAAATAATAGATAAAAGCTAGATGAAATTAAAGTAAATAAATCACATTCACAGCTATGTACAATATTTACATTCACCCAGGGGACTCTGAGTCATGCCTTATTCCCCGACGTGGAAGCCAAGGCAGGACTCCAGGAGATCCCAGTGCTTCTCTCTCAGCCGCGACACTGTTAATATTTACCATTAAAATTATTTTTCAATTTGTCTATATTTATGATTTCACCTTGCATTTCATTGTTTTTTTTAATACATCTTAACCTAATTTATTTTTATTAAAATGAATTCTGTATCACATCTCACAAAATTACTTATTTTATCATTCATGCTACATTTTTAGAATTTCTTATACATCTTCTTAAAAGTAGCATAACTGGGAACAGTGTGGTATTGTCGAAGAAAGAAAAAAAAAATTATAAAAATTACCACACTCTATTGTTCATTTGATCTTTATCAAATGTTTTTGGCTGTTTTATTTTGAATGATTAAGCCGTTCCTTCAGAACATACATCAGAGATCACTTAAAAGTATTCAATTGAACTATATTCATAGCCTATATTGTTTTAGGTGATATGTGAATCCTCAATTGAATTAAAGGAATGAATCGAAAGAATTATAGCTTTTTCTAGGTTCCTCTATTCCTCGAAATTCATCCTGATGCCCGGATATACCAAAGGATCTCCTGGTTATTATCGACATTTTGGAATATTTTGATATTTTTATGAAAGTTTAAGTTCATCATGTTTTTTTATATGATTTTTAAAGTATTATTAATCGATCAAATGTGAATTTCAATACTTCATTATGTTAAAGAAATCAACACTGTTATACTATTAATATCATGCTTCCAGGAATATTTAATTTTTTGATTAACTCACGTAGAGTTGTTAACATTCTGCTTTGGGAATCAACTCTTTCCATTTAGACTCCTTTCTACCTTTTTCCAAAAGTGTTGCCACTCTGTATGTTTTGGATGATAATTTTTATTGTGTATGTTGTAGGTATCGATGGGTACATCGCTCTGAGTAGTTATCCACCTAAAGTGTTGTTCAAGTATCCACCATTATTACAGGTGAACAGTTTTATACTATTACTAATATTTTGTATTGTAGTTTCAAAAGTTTCTGTAATCCTCATGTATATTTCCTAAATTTTAATTGTAGTTGTAATCTGTTATTGATTTGTTGTATTAGGTTTAACTTGTACAAATTTTAAGTTTATCGCTTGATGAATAGTTCATTGGATATTGAAAATTAATGAAAAAGACACTAATTTATTTGGCTTATGGTCAGTTTAAATTAATCAAATTAGTCTTTGATTGTAATTTATTGAACATTTGGGGAATCTTTGTTCCCCTCTTCAGCAATATTTTATTCCTCCAAGAAATTGGGTGTTACAATAATTTAACATCCTAAGATTGGTTCAATGTTTAATATCCAATTGAACCAATCTTATTATATTAAATTACTGTGACACCCAATTGCTTGGAGAAATAAAATATTACTACTGAAGAGAGGAACAAAGATTCCCCAAACGTTCAATAAATTACAATCAAAGACTAATTTGATTAATTTAAACTGACCATAAGGCAAATAAATTAGTGTGAAAAGAATAAAGGTCAAACCTGAATAATGAAATATTTGAAACTATTTAATAACCGATTTTATAAAATATTATTCCAGACTCCTGCGATCCATTGTTCAAACCTGAAGAGGCTTTTGATGCTCAGGTATCCAAACTCTTTAGTTATTTGGCGACTCGGCCAGAAAGATGTCTGTCCTCCGACGAAGCTGTTGGAATGGAAATCTATTTCGGACGAGCGGATTAGGTGTGCTGCTCTGTCTCCTGATGGTCGGTGGATGGCCTGCTCGACGCAGGAAAGCTTTAAGTTGTATTCTCTATCTTTGGTAATGCAATGTTTGTCTTATTATTTGATTTTATTTACATTATCTTAATACCCTCATATACCGTGATGGATTGGCACAAAATCTCATGATCACAAATTCACAAATCGATTCGGTCCTTTAATAAATTCCTAAGTATGTAATTGTTGGATAATATGTAAATACATCATTAAAAGAGCATGATCATTTATTAACTTAAATTCATGCCAGAATTTAATGATGTATAAAAAAAAATAAGAATAATAAAAAAAAAATATAAATGCATTGAGTGGCATACAAAGTAGAAAATTCTTGTTATATCCATAGCTAACAACAGCGCTATCATTTGATGATAAATGACATGAAATACATATATAATGTCAAAAAGGTGAGGAGGTATCTCATTGCTTTTGGAATGGGGGAGTTTTGAATGTGAATATGCCGAATTTTGATAGGGAAGGGATTCCATCAAGTGACTGAGCGGGCAACAAAGAGCTTTGAAATGAGGCAGATCTGTGAAATAAATGTAAAGATCAGAAGGTCAAGACCTTTTGGTTTGGGAATGCACTGAGGTCTTGAATTGGAGAAGGTTGTAAGTATTAAGGTACTATTTCGCTGACGCTGCCCACGGCAGCGACCACTTGCGGTTGACACTGCTTTAGTGGAATAGAAAGGAACCTATTTCGTTGGCACTGCTCGGCAATCTAGGTCTGACGTCATATCTATGCTGCTCCTATCTGACCGCTCATGAAGCAGTGGAGCTGTTCATGGTTGGGCGATTCTAGGTTCTGTTATTATATCGTAGCAATGTATTGATGATAACAGTCTCGTTGATACGTTTTATTTCCTATGTTTCTTTCAATTCTGGCAAAATTATGAGAAATATTGTTTAAAACTTAAACAACGCAATAGTAAATTATTTTTTTAAGGTTGAAGTAATAAGATTATTTATTTATTTATTTCACCAACATTATTTTACACCGAAATTCAAATATACCTAAATCCAAATGATATTAAATAAATAAAAGAATAAAAATATAAAATATTAAAGAATAAAAAAGTGGTAGTAAGATGGAGATAGTAAGTCCATTTTTATATCTTCAAAGATAGAATGAAATGTCTGAAGGTTATAGGCAGGTTATAACAACCCCAGTGAGTAGTTTCAGGGAAATAGCTTCACAACAGTGGTTGGCAGCGTGAAATAGTGGTGGCTGCCGTATGCAGCACCAGCGAAATAGTACCTTAAGAAGGGCGATAAATTCCCAAAATGGCCAAGTGTACCAGAAAATAAGCAGAGGTGCATAAATTGTCTGATATGGCTCCGACCTTAACTGAAATTGATCCGTCGATGGCTTGTTTATCCCTTTGGAATGAGTTTAGTGAGTGAAAATATAAATCAGTGATATTATTAAGACCTACATTTTAACTGAAAAGGACCAGTTGGGAGTTGTAAATCATAGTAGTACTTATGTAATAGTAGTACGTAAATCATGATCTTATTAATTAAAGAGAGATCATACTCAGTGCTTAAAACATTTTATTTCTTAAGCTGTTTTGTATTATCGAATATTTGAATTTTATTTCCTTCAATATTTCTCTGATATAGTTACTTTATTAATAAGCTAAAATCAATTATTTTAATACGTTTTGTGTATTTTTTACTATTACTATTACGTACATGGCGAGTACCCTTCTTGGTTTGTACCCTGTGACAATTGTCCAGCCCTAAGGCTATCTGTGAACACATCTATTCTTGGAATTTCATTTGTAATGTGCCTATGAGATTTTGTACCCTCTCATCAAAGTGGAGCGACACTTGTAAAGAAGAACTGTACTATTTATTAGAATGAAATCAATTTCATCAACAATTAGAATTGATGCTTTCATTAATCATTCAAAATTATTTATATTCATTTAATTTATTTTCAGATTTTTTTAAAGGTTTCGTTTGCTTTTTAGGATGATAAAAAACCAAGGATATCCAAAGTGAAGGTTTCCTCGAAAGAGAACTTTGCCTCTCAGGTAATGTGCTTCTCGCCTGACAGCTCTCTTCTAGTCCTGGGCACCAACGACGGTTGTGTCGTATGTCTGTCGATTTCGTCCGACCAACCGTCTGTTCTTTACTCCTTTGATGCATATAAAGATAAAGGTAAAGTTTGAAACAATTTTATCATTTGGGGATTGATGAACTAACCATAAAATCTCAAGGGTGTATGGAATATGTTGTCACAATTTTAATTAATTTTCTAGTTCTAATACTTTGAACAATTGATATTTTATTGATAAAAAAAAAATTATTTTTGTATTATAATTTTATTGAAAATTTTCAGAGATTATTGATTTTATTATTGTTAAACAATTATTTTCAGAGTTCAAAGACAGTATAAGAATGCTGGCAGTGTCGAATGATTCTCAGTATATTGTTGCTGCCGATCTACAGAGTAACATAATTGTTTGGCATGATGGAAAGGTATGTTATAACATATTTTGGTAGTTTTTGTCTAGGGGGCCGCTACTGACTGCTATCTACCAATGTTTATAACCTCAACACTGATAACTCCCATAACGCAGTGATAAGCCATCTCCTACTTCATATCTTCGTATTATTTTATTAAATTTGTATTGTTGAAAGTGTAAACAGATACAAAAGCAAATGTAATAAAAAAAAAACAACTTTTATTTGACGACACATATATTAATTAAATAATAAAAAAACACTTTAAGAAGATATGTACAAATAAAACATCAAAATGAAATAATAAAAAAACACATTTAAAAGAACATATGTACATAGAAAAGAAAAAATATAAAACATAAAATCTGTTTTATAAAAAGATAAAAAATTCATCTGTTTCTCGGCAAACTCCACCAAACATCCACTGCTGAGGTAAAACTCTCCCCACATGATTTTTTCGTTTAGAAAAAAGACTTTCCTCTACTTCAACCACTTTGCCAGGTCCTCCAATTTTTCTTCTTGGCCTGTATAACATGTCATGGGCACAAACCTCTCTTAGACATTTGTTCCACGTTACCATTGCTCCGTAGAATAGTTTCAGCTGCTCTTTGCCCCACTTCATAGTTGTCAAGCTATGGGACCATCCATAAATCAATTTTAAAGCTGTTAAAAATGAAATCCACGAGCCCTCCAATCATGTTCCTTTCCTTATTGAAAGTTTTGTGTCACAAGTCCTACGAAAGCATCTCCATTTGGCCTGGTTAACTTCATTCGATGATCTCGTTCACACAATTTCACGTCGGCAGGTACCCCAACATTTTGAAAATATTGAATTGCCTGTTCTTCTGAAGGCGGCAAATCCCATATCCTAAGAAGATGCATAATAGAACTAAAATAAACAGGAAAAAAATGAAAAATAAACACAAACGGGCCAAAAACTAAAAATAAACACAAACGGGCCAGTAAAGAATTTAATAAGTGAACGTAATAAGGGAATAACTGGAAACTAAACAATGCAATAACTCAAAGGTTTGGCGGGATAAGGAGAGGGAGGTTATGTGACGTGACCTTAGATAAGATAGATAAGAAGTGAGGTTTCAGTCCGGCCCGCTAGACACAAAGTACCCATATTTTAATAATACAAGTTACTAAATACGAGCATATTTTTGTTTTAGTTGTAATGATTTAATAATAATGTTTATATTCATTGTTTTCTTTTATTGTGTTACGAGCAATGTTTATTACCATGAATGTTTCAGATGCATACCAAACTACCAAGGTACAATTGTCCAATTACTGCTATGGCAATACATCCTTCCACAAATGAAATGGTCCTCGTATATGCAGATCATAAGGTGAGTTATCCAGTAATTTTAAACCTTGCTTCTGATTCGATTATTTTTTGGAAATAATTTCTCATCATTTAACCTCATTATTTATTATAGATCATGGAATATTCATTACGTAAAAGGAAATACACCAAATTTTCGAAAATATTACAAGACCAGCATCCTAAACAGTGGCTCACGAGGCATTTCCCAGTTCACAACCTCACTTTCGATGAAAGAAATGATAACATCATTATCCTTCATGATGATTCAACGATTCTTGTCATCGATAAGGATAAGGTAAATTTTATATTTAAATAAAAAAATATGTTTTCCTTCAAAATATGTATTTTAACAATTGTAACAATAATTAATATAAAAGAGTATAAACTTAAAAAACAGACATAAATAGAAAATTTTCCAATAAGGATGTAGTTGAAGCATTTCATACAGAAAGCTTTTAATATCAACAAGAAATGCAGACAAACACTTAACCTATCAACGTTTCAGAAATTCAGGTATCATAGAGACAGAAAGACACATTAACTAGAGACTATACATTACTTCATAACATCCATTTGGATTATGAACTTACATACTCCATGGATTTACTTACAAACGAAAAATGGAGGTAACATAATTATAGATGAAGATTATTATCAAACAGCTGATCATCAAAATACAGAAAACTTAATTAAAAAGTTATAAAAATAATTGAAATGATAATGACAATGCCTGAATTGACAAAATATTGAAAGGTTAATTGTTTACCTACATTTTATAGAACCAAGTCTTCGTTTATATTTGTGTTTGCTATTTTTCAATTACATCTTAATAATCTTTGGTGCAGACTTTATGACAAGCATCATCTCATTGTAACCTACAACTGTTTTATTAATGATAATTCTCAGAATTGGAGCTTTTTCAATCTGAAAATCGACAAACTTTGTCTATTTGACCAGGTACTAATAAATTAAAAACGCCCATTTGCTTTCTGCTTGAATCGTAATAAGGTAATTTCATCACAAAATCAAAAGAAAAGGTAGTCTACAAAAATATTGGGCCGTTTAGCCTGACCTTCACCCTCAATATATAAAAAAATAATGAGGTTATATAGGCCCAATATTTTTCTAGGCCGCCTTTTTTATATGGATTTTATGATCAAATTATCTTACGATTCAAGTGGAAAGCAAATGGGTATTATGAGTTTTTAATACCTCATTAATTTAATAAATTTAATGAGAAAATTGTAGATTATGATAAGATGAAGCCATTTATTAAGTTTTAGGTGGATGTTAATAATTTGACAAAAAGGTGTCTCGATCACTTGATCGAAAAAGTGTAGTGATTTTTTTTTAATCATTGCTATCAAGGAGTTTCATTGATGACTTTAAACTATTTCATTAATGTTTTCCAGGAGCTGCCAGAAGTTGAATCTAAAATCCCTCGTTTAGGAACTTATAATAACGACAATACTTTAGAAAACAGCAATCAGCATCCGTTCAGCCATACTCCTCAGCATGCTTTTCATGTCATTAAGAAATACAAGGTAATTTAAAAAAAGATCTATATGAAAGCTGTTTGAACCTAATGCTAATTTCACATATTACTAGTGATGATTGATTGAATTTTTTTTTGCATTATGTTGAAAGTTTATTGAGGAAAGGTTTATAACGTAACTTTACAACTGTAAGCGTTAATCAGCTTGGAAAATCAGGCAATAATGCATTCATAGCTTCCTGTGTGTAAGCAATAACTTGTAGCCATCATTCATAAAGCATAAGAACAAACTTTTAAGCATATTGGACTCTATTTGAGAAAAAACTATTTTTTTTTTAATCAAGTCAGTATTTGCGATTCTCATGATTTTTGTGGAATTTTCACTAATCTTAAGGGATTACTGTACAAATCACGGAAATCTCAAACTGTTCATAGAAAAGTGGATAGTCCTGTTATTTAAATTTTGAATTATTACCTGCTCCACATTTCTTTTATATACCTATGAAGAGACTATCCATTTATCTAGAGTTTCCAATTTATTGAGTTATTATAGAGTTTCCAATTTATATTCCTCATGCAATGAGATTGATTTTTGTCAATATTCCATACCTGATTCATAATTTTTTTTGCAGCATTTAGTCTACTTTGGCTCATTGTGCGAAGGCGAGATGGTCGCTGTCGAAATCAGTCCAGTAACGCTCTACGAAAAACTACCTCCTTCATTGAAGCAGAAACGTTTCGGCAGGATGTAAAAGTAAGCCTTTTAATATTATTAAATTTATTTAATTACCAATGTTATTGCCATATTGGTTCGATTTCCGCTGTGGTAGATTTATTTATTGTTATATCATTATTCGTTATGGATTGATCCTGCAATCAGGAGAACTTCTTGGAGAAAACATAACTTTTATAAACTATTTACCCTTAATCATCATCATAATCCTTATTCCCCATGTACCACTGCACAGTGTGGGGTCACAATTTGTAGAGTTTGGACCAGGTCTCTCGCTCTTGGGCCAGCTTTCTTCTCCTGCTCTAATCAATTCCTCACCGCCTGAACGCCTCTCTAACACTCTCCTTCCAGGTTATGCGCGGTCTCCCTCTTAGCCTCCTTCCCTTCACATGATTCTCTTACTGGCAGTTCTCTCAGATCCATCCTAAGCAGGTTTCTGAATCACCAAGCTATGCTCCTCTAGGATGAGCTCGGCTGGCTTGACCTTGAGGCCAGTCTGTATTGTGCAGTTCCTTATGCTATCCCTTCGAATCTTTCCTTCCACTTTACGTAGATAGCGCATCTCCATAGACTGGATTCGACTCTTGTGTTTCGAGGTGAGGCTCAACGATTCTGAAGGGTGAGAAAGAATAGAGAGGAACGTTGATTTATAGACCATCATTTTTGTCTTCTTTATAACTTATCTTTTACCCAGGAAACCTTAATTTATCCTTAATAGGAAGGAAAACTAACAGTAGGGTATAATCCTGACCAAACAATGTCTTTGCAAAATGATTGGTGAAGAAACAGTACTTGTTTTTCCACCTACTGAACCCAAAACTTTTTGTAAGTTGTAACAGTTGCAGGATTTTTTTTTTTCTAACAGTGTATAATAATAAGGTAACGAGTGACCGAAAGATTATTCCCAAGGAAAATATTTTTTAAATAACCTAAGATAATAACCTATATATAAACAGTTAGTCTTATTACACATTTAATTTTTTTATTTTAAATTCATATTGTATTTTTATATAAAGATAGGAAAGAGGTAAATGTTTTTAGAGTAACTGTGATCGTTGTTCCAGAACACTAGCTGAGATTTTTAACATAATGTTTTAGAATATTATGGATTATAATTTTATTACAATTTTTTCAATAAGTAAGAAATCTGGCAATAATCCCCTGCCCTCACCCCTGACCCGGGAAAACCCCATATAGAGCCTAAATGGCAAGGAAGGGGAAAAGAAGATACAATAGATGAGATCTAAGTCCTATTTTTATTTTATTATACTTCAGAGAATTAAAAAAAAATCTTTATTTATTTTTTATTTGTGTTCATAATTAGTGCATCTACCTCAATTGCTTAATTATCTTTCTTGCTAATTTCATTTTTCAAAAGTGTTATGCACAGATTATTATTATGACTGTTTATTATTCTGATAAAACATTTCTAGATTAAATTATTAATATACTATATTGTACAGTGTCAACATTATTTTTTATTCATCCTAAGAAAATTGTGTTGTAGCTTTTCACTTCTTTGGCCAATTCTTGTTTTGGAGAGATGTACAACGGGCCACAAATTTCAAGCGAATGTTCAACTCCAGAGCGCCATCCGACAAATTCTGTAAAAAAAATAATGTATAGAGTTATATATTTTAATAATATGATGTTATCTACTGTTTTATTAAAATAAACGATATTTTATGAAATCAGTTTGTTTTATTTGTCCTTGTATAATATTTGAAAACTAAAAAGTTATATTAAGTTGTTTTGAATAAACAATAATATCGTTAAAATTAGTTGATTTTTAACATACCATAGCTTAAAAAATGAATTTTCATTTAATATGTTACAATCAAAAAACATATTATTTAAAAATTAATTATGATTTTGTTATAGACATACTCACGCGACATCGTTTTGGGCGCTGGAGGAGAAGGGGCTATTTCTACTATTAATTCTTTATCATCGTTCTTCCTTTTTCTTCTCTTGAATAAGAAATCTGAATCAAGGCCCAATTTCACTGCCTCCTCCCTATAAATCTAAAAAATAAAAAAAATAACAATATAACTGTTACACAGATATAAGTGAGAAGTGGATTCAGCAATATATGTATTTTATCTTGATTATATCAGTTATTATGTAAGATATATACATCACGATTCACCACACATTTCTGAGTTAGCGAACCAGGTAGTTCTAAAACTTTGATGGATATTTAAAAAATATTTGAAAGCTCATTCAGCAATTAATCGATAACTTATTATCGCCTTATAAGACTGCTACGGAACGAAACAAAGAGGTAGAAGCTTTACCAATTAGGCAACTTTGGTCACCTGCTGTATGTCAAGGGAAGTCCACTTCCTTTGCCACCGTTCCTTGGATCGACTTTCCATCAGGATCAGTTCCTTCCTACAACAATCCAGTCATTGTTCGTCGTTATTTCAAAGTTTAATAACAACAAAAAGTTTCATTTTGTCTCCTGACTATTTTTAATTTCATGTTTACATAAAAGGATACAAAATTACTCTATTATTTGTTCTAACTATCTATTACTACAAGATAAAGACATTTTTCAGTCCTTGAATAAAATGATAAATATATAATAAATGATAGTTATACCTGACATAGTATAATAATATCCTTACACTACTGTACTAAAATCAACGTTGCTTCTAATTATTAATTAATGGCCACAGTATGAATGTACTCATCTTGATGGAATTTATTAGAAATTCCACCATGTGTTAGTGCCACTCCACTGGTGGACATATGGTTGGGGAGGAGGGAGGTGGGCTCTAGGGCTGAAGCCTCCCCCCAAAAATGGAAACATTATTTTTTTTTTCAGCTCCATATTTGTTACTGTAAATGATCTAAGCTACATAAACAATAGCAATATTTTTTATTTTTACTTTCACTTACTTATATATGAAATATTATTGTTTTTAAATATTCAGGACACAACCTATTTTAAACATTTTTTTTTTTTAATTTTTCATTTGTGCCAACGTTTCAACCCAAACATGTGGGTCATCTTCAGGCTGTGGTTTGAGCACTGAAGATGACCCACACCACATGTTTGGGTTAAAACGTTGGCACAAATAAAATATAAATATTTTTTTTTTTTTAAATACCGTGTCTTGAATATTTATCACTCATGATATGTAGAACAGTCGTCTAGCTTCCTTCAATTATATATGTAATATATAGTAAAGGAAAGTATTGCGATCATGAAAATTTTTTAATCTCAGTTTTCAAAAGAAATACACGTTTTGAGGTCTCTCTAAGTCCAAATAACCAAGTAATAATAATAACTAACAGTCTATTAACGGAAGTGAAATGAAATATTTAAGGTTTTTATATGCCTGAGATGTTACAGTAACTTTTTCGTCAAAATCGGCTAACTGGAAGTGTCACTTTATATAATAATCAATTTAAAACATTTTTACGATTTTCTCGGAAACGGCTCTAACTATTTTGATTAAATTCATTATATCAGTGTAAAATTAAGCAGTTTTTAATATAATGTAGATTTTATTCTCATTGATGTTCTCTAACACGGCTTGAATTGCTAATTTTCAATATTAGCTCCCCCTAAAGTACCTTTAATTTTTTTTTATTTGAGACAATTAACCATTTCACTTTGATCTCTGTTATAAAAAAAGAGTTAAATATAAAATATGAAAGAATTTGATAATTAATTAAAGGAGAAATAAGAGATCGTAACGGATAATAGTTTTAATGGAAGAACCAAAGGAATACGAGCTCGCCCCGAAGATTAGAACAGTCTTCCATATGTAATAATAATAATAATAATAATAATAATTGAATTCCATATGTAACATGAGTTTAATATAATACGGACTCCGACAATATTATGTACATATACCTATGGATTTTCATAAATGCTATTGTTGGTATTATTTAATATTTAATTGTATAGATTAAAGCGATGTAAATATTAAAATTTGTATATATGAGAGTACTTAAACAAATAAAAATACTCACAATGAAATATAAATGAAAATAGCGTTTACAATTTTTACTTTTACTCCCCCTTCGTCTGAAAATACTTATTTCTGCTAAGAAGAAGGTGGTAAGTGAAAGTTGTATGATGCACGCACCAGATTTTAAAAATTATAATGCATATACAGTTTCTAAACCCTGTTCCTCTTGGAAAAAATCTACTTCTGGCTCTGACGTTACCTTTTGATCTCAAGAAGTATTTTTTAAATAATAATACCTAATGGTGTTAATGAATATATCAGTTTTATAGACGTTTTAACGGATTATTTCAACCTTTAGTTTAGTTTTTAGGTTTCGTGCAATTACGCGTCGTTTCTTATTTACTTACAGTTGACATTCATCGAGAAAGCTCCTCTTAGTCGAATTATCTTCTGCCATTGTCCTTACACAGCTTGCTCTCCAAACGTAATTTATCGATCTATTTATTGGTCGCCTTGGATACCGCTCGTGTGCCGTCAACGGTCAATTATTTAAATATAAAATAATTTCTACTTATAATAACTATCGAGGAATTTCATTCCTTCCGGTATGTTATAAAATATTTACTTTAATCTTAACCAGTCGAATCACGGAATACGCCAAGGAAATTATCGGAGACTACCAATGCGGATTTCGACGGAATCGTTCGACTATTGATCAAATATTTTCTCTACGGCATATATTAGAGAAAAAATTGGAGTACAACGGTATTGTTCACCAGCTGTATATAGATTTTAAAAAGGCTTACTATTCTATTGACCGCCAGAAACTGTATAATATTCTAATCGAGCAGGGGATTCCTAAAAAAACTAGTAAATCTAGTCAGGATGTGCTTGACGGAGACACTCAATAAAGTTAGAATCGGTAATAATCTGTCCGAAAAATTTGAGGTTCGTTCGGGTTTAAAACAGGGGGATTCTCTTTCGCCTGTCCTGTTCAATTTGGCATTAGAACATGCCATTAGGGAGGTAATGCGAACCGAGAAAGGGTTGGATCTGGGTGGGACAACATCCGTGCTGGGCTATGCTGGATGATCTGGTACTGTTAAGCGAAGACCTTGAAACTATAAAACTAAATACGACAACGTTAATGAAAGCCGGTAAAGAACTAGGACTCGAAATAAACGTGGATAAAACAAAATATATGGTTAGCTGCAAAAATGGCGATACTACTGGTGATATCGATATAGATGGTAATATATTTGAACAGGTAGATAAGTTTAGGTATCTAGGTTCTACGATAACTAGAAAAAACGAAATTGAAGAAGAGATTAAGGTTAGACTGAAGGCGGGAATGCTTGTTATTTTTCTGTGACAAAACTACTTAGTTCGCGCCTCTTGTCCCGAAACTTAAAAATTAGAATCTATAAAACAATTATCTTGCCTACAGTTCTTTATGGATGCGAAACTTGGCCGCTTACATTAAGGGATGAGCAGCGTCTTAAGGTTTTTGAAAATAAAGTATTGCGTAGAATATTCGGACCGAAGAAGGATGAGTTAACCGGAGAGTTCAGACGGTTACACAACGCCGAATTGCGTGAACTGTATCCGGGTAATATAATTGAGGTAATTTCATCGCGGCGAATCAAATGGGCTTGTAAAGTTGTTGGACTTAGTAACGAGAGAATTCCTAAAAGGTTAATATTTGCTGTGCCGAATGGTAAGCGTCCGAGGGGTAGACCGAGGCGAAGGTGGGAAGATTGCATTAAAGCCGATCTGAAGGGACTGGGTTTGGACGGCGAATGGTGGAGGGAGGTGTGCAATAAGCGATTGGTGGTGTCGGCATCGAACCTTCGGGTTCGCTAAGCCTTTTTATTGTTATTTATTATTATTATTCTACTTATAATATACCATAAATATCATTTTAAGTAAATAATAAAATATTAATTTTGGATTACAATCATTCCGTGTGTCTCATTTCTGAAACGTTGGATTGCGATATGAGCCGTTTATTTTGAAAGTGGCCTAACTCCGTTTTTCAATTTTTTGCCAGTTACCATGGTTACATGTACAACTTCATACTATATATCAGTAAAACATTTCAGGTTGCTTATATTCCGAGCAAATACGATAAATTTTTGACACATAAGTTTTCAGAATTAGTTCAATAACTGAACCGTGTAGTTTGAAAGTGGCCTAACTCCATTTATTTTATACTTACATCAAGATATTTACTATTGATAATGTTGGAAATGAAAATTTTATTTGATAATTTTATTGTAAATGAAATGAGACAAAAAGATTTTGTATCAACAAAATTATTAGAAGACGCAATTTTTAAAAGGATAAAGAATTCTGATGGAGAATCAGTAAGCTGGTTACAAATAATTTGGATGCGTTTTATCAGAAATGAACCGTATAAAATTTTCTATAAGACAACGATGAATGAGAATGAAAATTTTAAAGTTCTGAATTTATTATCACGTCGGGATAGACCAAGAAAATTCGAAAATATTGTATTGACACCACTCTATAAAAATATCAGACAAATTACAACATCAAAATTTAAGGACATGATTGTCCTATTGCGATATATACCACTGGAACATCATGACTACTTCAAATCCTTTTCACAAGCGCAAAATGTAGATGAATAGTAAATTGTTTGTTAATAAACTGTTTGTAATTTTGTATGTTCTGTGATTAAAAAAGGTTTGAATCGCATAAATCGTGTTTCCGAAGTATTTTAAAAATATGTAAAATA